GTAATTTGCAAGCTCGTGTCACCCTGGGAACGAGTTATGAGCTATAATGTTGAATAGTTTAACAAAGAAAAACTGCAAGGAGCTTTCCGCGGTTAATCCGATTCTACCACAACAACTTACAAGTACAAACGTAACTAGTCCACAAACAGAAAGTTGGTTCGACCTGAATTAGCAGCGGCCGAATATTCAAATAATGTGTTAATTTCAACGAATTGATGATCAAGACAGCGTCTCACTATTAGTGATTGCGAAATTGGGCCCCAAGTGTACTTACAATTCCTACGTTTGTTCCCATTAAAGTGGTATTTTAACGTTACTAAAGGGGATTATTAAGAAAAAAACTTCTGTTAACATTACAAAAAGTTACCGTTTTCACAAGTAAAAATACTCCAAATAGGGTTTGAAACTGTTAGGTTAAGTTTTCGAAAAAAGCTTTTAACATGGTGGGAAAAATAATTCTACTTTGATTATCACCGAAACACTAATGATACATCGTAAGACACGACTAGTTCAGATGGCAGAAAAGAGTGGCAAAACATAAAGTCTTCTATATAATCAACAATAGATGCAGCATGGGTGTTAGATATCCAAACAAAATTAACGGTTAAACACTGCGTCAGCACACCATGGATGCGGTAAACAGACATCATATATGGAACACTCTGGGTGATATGCTGTGCACAAAAATTACCCATATCGCCCTGAAGAAAAGGCTCCATCACCACATAAAAGGAGCTTAAAACATTCACCCTAAACTGAAAAAGGAGGACAAAACGCAGTTACAAGAGTAGAGTGAGTTCATCGGCGTGAAAGAGAAAAAGAGAAACATGATTTACCTGCTTGCTTTTGCGTCGAGCCACAAGTTTGTCAAGACCAGTGAAGGCGCCTGATGCAATAAAGAGGATGTTAGTGGTGTCCACCAGCACCGACTCGCCACGTATCTTTCGCGCACCCTTGCCATCGGGTACACTCACCAACGACCCCTCTAGCATCTTCAGCATACCCTTAAGGCGGGGTAGAGCACAAGTAAGATAAGAAGTTTTGGAAGCATTGCAAACCGTGCACCATACCACAACACACCTGTTGAACACCTTCACCGCCCACATCACGAATTGAGTGGAGTAGACCGGCGCGACTTGAGATCTTGTCAACCTCATCAAGGAAGACGATACCTTGCTGAGCGCGTTCCACGTTGAAGTTAGCATTCTGTAGAAGTTTGGCTATCACTGACTCAATGTCCTCGCCCACATAACCGGCCTGCGTTAAAGTGGTGCAGTCACAGATAGCAAACGGTACGTCCAAACACTGTGCCAGCGTCTGCGCCAACAGTGTCTTCCCTTTTAGGGACCATAGAAAAAGGTGGATTAAAAAGGGTGCCATCAAAACTAAATTTACAATGGTTTCTAAGGCTGGTCGCGCTTAAGCATCCAAAACTACCAAAACATAAAGTCGACACCATGTTTTGGGAATAGGAAGCCAGAACTTTTAACTAACGATTGTTTGGAAAATTTCTTTCAACAAGTCACCAGGACGCATTCCATACTCACTAAGTTCGGAAATTAACAATAAACCGTGCGATACGATTCCACGCCCATGAGGTTGAAAGAAAACAAATTTTGTGTGAGCGTCACGTAAGATCTTTTGGGAAGGGAGAGGAGAGGAATAGTAATCAGGACACGATGAAGAGCCTAGAAAGTAGGTGTCAATCTTGATTCAACGTCGCTGGGTGATGCCATGAATAAAGTAGAGCGAATTCACGTAGGTCTGAAACTCATAACGGGTTCTCTTGATTAATCGAGAAAGAAAAACAATTGCCATCCTCCATCCATCCATAAGCGGGTGCAAAGAACAAAACTTCGGTCTCAGCGCTGAAAGTGAGGACAGTGGAGGATGTGAATTATCTGTGTCACCTCCATTGTGGGCGTGTGAAAGCATACGTAACAATGGTACCCAACTTCCACCAACACTAGATGCATGAGAGAGTGCGCCTCCTCTCACAAAGACGCCATGCTCTGCTTATTAAAAAAGACTTGTACGCAGTTGGCACAGGCACTGTCATGAGAAATTAGAACAAATCAGACCAGCGAGTGCGCGAAACTTAATATAGCCTAAACTCGAACCTTCTTTGGAGTGCGAACGGTTCAATCAAGATGACGGATTCTTACATTGGCAGTTATCAATCAAGAGCTTCATAAACCGACCCACATCACTTGCTCAGTTTAGTAAAGTCAGGTGTTAAATGATCATTGGAAAATGGCGGCATAAAGTAGTAACAGGATGCCAAGTGAGGCCTTTGAGATGTGAAATGACTCCATATACCCACGTTTCCAAAATACTATCAAGTAAACCTGGCATCATTAAAAGCACCTCTTAAAACGTTCAAAAGGTTAACAATGTGTATATGGCCCTGGAGAACAATTTCGTTACTTCCGTTTCCACCAGAGAAGAATAAGTAGTAGCAGTCTGTCAATTGCTTGTTCATGAGACCGAAAAAAAATAGGTACAGAATGGACATTTACTCCTCTTGCATAACATAATCGCTTGATTTGTGTGGCAGTAAATGATGGTTTTCAACCTTATGCTGCATGTCGTGGACATCAGGTTCACGCAAGTATTCATTTATGAGCTCCATATATTCTTGCGTTGCGCTATTTCGTGATGGGAGAAAAGATATGGGCAACAACACTGAAACGGTCATTCCGAATCAAGCGGAATAAATTAATTAGTAAGCCAGCATCAGTATTTATAGCCTTAAAGTTGGTTTAAAAAGCAGCTAAAGCATCTAAGATAAAGCTTTAAATAATCAAACCAGATATTTTTTGGCATTACATTCGCTGTTAAAAAAACTTCAAAGGAATTGAATTCCCGAAATTGAGGTAATGATAGCGTCAAGAAACACACATAACAGGGATTTTAATATGTGCAAGTTTTTGTAAAGCCGCTTCTCTCCCTTTTCACACTGCCCTAACCATCATGGCTCCATTGCAGTTCCATCATACTTCACGTTTTAAATCACACGATAAAAAGGGGGGCAGCGAAGAGGAAAACGAGTGACCTAAAAATGGTTGAAATACAGGGGTCAACCGAGAGGAATTGAATAAACGAGCATTGTTGCGTCATCCGTTGAGTCGCGCAATTAGTCTTTCATATGGGCGTAACCTGGAGTTCAAAAAACTAGATTTGGTAGAAAATTTGGGGTTTAAAGTGGAGGCAGATTGAAAAGTGCTGATGACTAGGTGCTAACACTGGTCACAGGTAGTGGACAAACTCTAGCATTCAGCACAGCCGCCTGCCGCGGAGGTATGTCCAGTGGAAAAAATCTGCACAATAAAGCAACAAAAGACAAAGTGTTCTGCTATTTTGTTTTTCGTGTGTAGAACACTTAATCGTGCTATTCCCTTAGAATAAACAGGCATGGATTACGCCAAAACACGATACGCAAAATATGAATCGCTATAAAGACCGTCGGTAAAATAACTAATAAAAGACCCGTTTATCACGCCAGTATTTTGAGAGAAGTCCAATTAATGTCGATCAAAGGAAAAGGATAGAGGCTAGATCAGAAACCATGAAATACGTATGCCTTGCCGTTTTATGAGCACAGCGAACATGATCCTGCGTAATAGAAGTTGAATTTATTGTAAGTTGGATAAAAGTTTTGCATTAATTTTAGCAAAAGGAATTAGGAGAGCTGACTTGCCAGATCCGGTAGGGCCAAGAAGGATTATGTTACTCTTCTCCAGCCGTACGGGTTCACCCTTATGAGTTTCATAAATGCGTCGAGAGCCAGCAATTATTCCGGGTGCCTGGTAGGTTGGATTACTCGCATCCACAGATCGGATGCTGTTGGTGGATCCCGATCGATTACCCGCATCGGAAAGCAGATGGAAGAGTTCTGCAGGTCAAAACAAAGTGCTAAAACAGCCTACTTACTTACAGTTAGTAAAGTTAGACTTGGGTGGCAGATAGAATTGTAAGCAACACCAACTATCGAGAACTGAAAAATTACCGGTAACAGAAGGACCAGAGGCGTCAATTCGCCGACCAATTATTTTACCAGATTGAAAGGGAAAGGAGGTAAATGCAGGACTGATTGGTCGTACAACAGCATCATTGGTAGCTGGCTTTGAAGGAGAGTAAGCGCCCTGTTGCTCGACAGATGCTAAACCAGTCAAATCACCTTCGCAATTGAGACGATTGTGATGGATGCGATTGTAATGCGAGTAGACTTGCACCGAGAGAACTTTCTTGGCGTGATCCTGACCCACGACGTAACGATCGAGGTAACTGTGAATCTGTACAGAGAGAGAAATAACAAGCATAGCTCAACCTCATGCGACAGAAGCTACAGTTCAGCATTATTGGTTCGAAAATTGCCTATGCAATAGAAAATAAGAGATTACCGCAATGAAGAAGACTACAATATTGAGCCACCATCGGGAAAGCTTTCATCGCCTAACTCCTTACTGTACCTAATAAAAATACCACGTGTCAAATCGCCATACCTCCTCCATTTCCCTACCAGATACGTAGAATACGGATGTGGATGGACAACTCAGAAGTGAGAATCTGGTGGTGACGTTGTGATTCGTTGTCCCTCAGTTTTACTAGAATTTATCACTGGATGTTTCTTTAGAGCAACCATTGCTTTGGGATATGCCCGACGCAGAGGACCGGTCGGGTGGAGCACCAAAGAAAATACTCAAAAAATGAGAGGAGCTATTTAATAGCCTGGTTACTTAACTTGCAGCCTTGCTAAAGAAACACTTTGTATTCTCTTCACTATACATTGGACAGGTGGTCTGACATACGAGTCGTGCCACTAGCCCTCGTATTGCCTATTCTCGTTATATTCGCTAGAATTGAGTGTAGGCACTGAAGAACAGCGTGAGTAAATATTCAATTGAAGACAATCAAAATGGTGACCTCCGATGTCGGTGCAATAACGGCCCGATCGCAAACTTAACTAACAATCCAGCATTTTCATGATTGACTAAAATCGTGCGGCAGTAACACCATTTAGTCTATGCACTTAAACCGGTGAGACGTAAGTTGACATCAGGAAAATAAGCAAACGAGAGTTCTAACGATTACGCATTACAAATTTCAGGGTTATCTATGCCCCTATGAATTTGACTAATCAAAATGGACACGAGAATGTATTTTAAAGCTAATGCCACTTTCAACAGTTAGAGATAGCCTCATGACACCGAAGATTCCTGTAACAGATCGTTTAAGTTCAGTAAGTTGCAGCTATTGGTCAATAAAATTTGCTTCCCAGTGTGAGAGTGATCCCATTTCTCAAGCCAAACGACCACAACACATTATTCAACTAAGTTTTGACAGACAGTAAAATAGAAAAAGTCAGCGTTGGTTGTGCAAACCAGCCTCCCTTTGTACAAGCAAAGTTATATGCGCAGTGCCACAGATCCCACAAATAAAAACTGATTATCGAAACCACGAATCGGGTCACATTTTCACTTCATAACTTCTTTAATCATGACAACTACGCTGTTTTTTAAACAACCAGTGGCTCATGGTGCTCGTTAGTATCTAGAGTTAATAATCCACCAATTTCTTTGGCCCTCCAAATACATTAATAATCGACCTCATTCAAACACGATATAAAAGTTGCATAGCCAAACTGAAGGAGGTAGAAATGATGTTAATCATGAACAGTAATTCATTTTGGATGTGAAATCAATTGCCCAGCGAGTGTACTTCCTTAAATACGACTCACCGAAGTACAGAAAAACGGAAAAAGCAGTACTCTACCAACCTTTTCCTCGTTAAATTCGGGGATGCAATTTCAGGGAAAACCAAGAATTCACTAACCCGCAGTTAAAACTAAGGATTGCTAAACAATAGCGGTTTTTCCTTCAGCAAGTTAATAAAACAGCCAAAAGTGTAAAAGTTTTAGGTTAGGCGCATGCACAGACATTCTAAAGAAAATGCCTGAATAAAAATTTGGACAAATATACCTGTTTGGGTGAAGGTGGTGGGTTCGGTGCATGTCCATCGACTCTCACGAAGGACTTGAGGGCGGTTTTGTCGATGAAAGTATACAACTGCTGACAGGAGTCGCATTTCATAAAACGAGAGATATCTAGAAGCAAAACGCGAAGTTAACAGTGACGCTCGAAACAACAGAAGCTTTTGCATCTTGAGTGTTGCTCAGAGAAAAACAACCTATGGTAAAGCATGCCTAAACATCGAGCAACGAGTATTCCAGCAAATTGCAATGTTTGTCGAAAATTCCAGACGTAGATTTACGCAATACTTACGAGAGGTTGACGGTTCAATAGGATGCAAGGGAGCGCCGCACTTGCTACAGGTGATGATTGGGCCATCACCGGAACCACCCTCTGTCCCACTCTCACCGCCAGTACCCGAAGCTGCCGAAGGCGAGAAAGACCCGCCGTCAGTAGTGGAGGGACCACTCGAGGGTCCCTCCGTACCGCCCGAGTTGGCATTCTTACTGCCTAAGCAGAGATAAGAAGTTACAGTGAGTTTTGCGCGGCTCATGAACCATTTGCCTCAATGATAGATCAAAAAGCGTTTCTCGGAACATCGAAAGAGTACGGATGGCAAAGAAGGCACTAAATGGAAGAATAACATAGAGGGAGACGATACTTATTCTTACTTTCTGCAGAAAAGAACATTAAGTTGCATAATACCGACTTAAAAATGCACGAAAAAGGAAAACAAAGAGTGGAATATGCTAAAATATCCAATGACCTGATCTTCTGCATTCCGGGAGTAACGATTTAGGGCTGGAGTGAGAAACAAAGGAAAAACAGCTTGAGGACGAAATTCGTAGAATGGATTGATCTCCTGAGCAGAAGATGGACCCTAGATTTCATAATATGCTTAGTACCACATGCATACACTTTTTTAACACAGGTCCAAAATTGGCCATTCTCATAGTCCTACACATTGTATACAGAACGACCGGTTTCATCTCTACAACTGCAAAATGCCAAATGTCGGGTTAATCACATGTGTTTAGTCGAAAAAAATTTGTCTAAAATCCAAAATAAGGTCATATAAAATGACACTTTGAAAACTTTAATGGAATCCAGACAGAATCTACAAGTTAAGGGTATACCTCACGAAAAAGAAAACACATGAGAACTTCTGCATTCGTCACCTGGAAAAACAATCGAAGGCAGACAAGAAGAAAGGCCCCACAACTTGAACCCACCTAGCCGACAAACAGGCTAAAGATGTCAAATTTCAAAAGCACACATTTGGCATACTAAATTGTTTAATGATCAACACTATCAACAACCTAATGCAATGTATAAAGGTGTTTAGCTGCAATGCAAATTTCAAAAATGTCTGAGGTGCAAATAATAGGTGAAGAATATTTAGTCAAATTTGTTTTAGAAGTCAATAAGCTTTTCTTCCGATAGGGTACTTGTGCCAAAAAATAGGAGTCTGGCTAAAATTCTGTCCGATGATAATTTACAGCAACTTCTGTTGCGGGAATATCGACGTGTCCATCAATGCCGAGAAGCGGTACTGGTAAAATTTGATATCATGTGACGAGTTTGTGTTTTAATTTTACTTAGAGCCTTTATATTTCTACAATTGGCAAGATACGCCACACTTCAAGAATAATGTTATTGTATTGTTTTGTTTATGTGACTCTCTGCTTAATGGCAGTAACTGCGATGTCCTTCTTGCTCCTGCAGGCGTGGTTGTCATTTGAGGCGGGTCAGCCTCCAATTCCATTATCGTCCTTGAGGGGTACACGTGCTCAGCCTAAATTAATGTCTCCTTTTACTTTTCCTATCATTTATCATATTCCGGTATTCATCGTTGGTGAATGTACAGTGCTGAGGAGGTGCGCGCACTTCGGGTGGGAGATTCTCTAAGTTGATCACAACAAAAGGGCTCTGCATGATGTCAACTTTTGGCTCCACCTTGTCTCCTCGTTCAAATCGAACTATTAACAACTGGAGAAGTTTTGCATTGGGATTCTCTGGTCACATCCTCGTGTCGATGTTGGAATTGATACTAATGCGGATCTAGTTATGGACGCGATTGACGGTCCCAGAAATTCCTCTACAAATCTTGCCCCCACACTAAATGCAACCTTAGATTCCGTTGAAGCCGCTGAGAAGAACTAGTGCAACCCCTTGATCTCACGGGAGCTGATGATGGTGTGACTACTTGTGTGTGTTCTTCTGTAGCACTGGATATGTTATGATGGCTAGCGCGGGAGATGTACTGTGGGAGCGTAGCCGACGTCGATCAGAAGAGAGAGGCAATATAGTCCTTTGTTTGTCTAACCGCTTGACGTTCAGCGATTACTTTGGTTTTCATCTTGCTCTTGTACGCGTGAGATGGTCTTCGGATTATGCCACCGTCTACTTCCTTCTTGCCTTCTTAGAATCCGTGTATTGGGTCCAATTTGATGTCTTCCTTTACCTAGTGGGAGATTTCGGGTGCCTGCAGTTATTGACTCTGAAAATATCAATGTCTTTAAGGAACAAGGTCTTAGCCGGTGCCAAAGTTGGATTAAAGTAAGTGTAGGGAGTTTATAGAAACTTCCGGCAATCCACTAACATTCGCCTCTAGTGCCATATGATAAATGATTAGGCATGAATCAATTCGAAATTGCTGGGTTTGGGCCGTCGATGGTTCATTAGACACTTGAAGTGCTTTTGGGTGTTTGTTGAGCCCAGAGGTGGCGTTTGTTAGTCGCGTTATTCAAAGACGTAGTGCGCGTAATGCGGACTTTGCTGTCGTAAACGTCGACAGTGAAGTCTGGTCAGAGATTGTATTGATTTCAAAATAGCTTTTTTCCATCTGAGGGGTGGGGGGGCGTCGCTGTAGACTGTGAAGTATGCTCCGGTTGTTTGACTTCTTTGATCTGATAAAATTAGGGATCTCCGCCTATTCTAACAAAGTGGACAGGGAATTTTGCAGACCTAACTTTAAGTATCAGAGAAAAAGCATGGCGGAAAAGGCAACAAACGGTGTGCGGATTTAATCCTAAATCGTTCGGATACGAATAAATAAAATTAAGTTCGAACAGTGTCCATGGCGGATCCAAAAGGGTCGGAGCAATTATGAATTAGCATTGACTCCAGGTAGCTGATCCTCTTAAGGGTTCATGACAGTCGAGCACACACGATCCATGGGGTGACTTCATTCGTCTGCCCACTTGTCATATAGCTGTGGAGAATGCTGGAACATGAGTAATGCATATCAGCCATACACCTATTCTCGATAGAACCAGAGACATGATCACCAAATTGCCTTCCTCGTCCCTAAGTAATCTTGCTATCGCCTTTAGTACCACGATAGACTTTGAGGTTCTTAATATATTATTAGGTACTCTTTACATCCGAAGTAGTAATTATCAGATCGATTAAGAACAAATTGTATGAAAAGTTTAAATGCTTCACCAACAACGTTGAATCTGACCCCAGTTGTTACAGTCGCCTTATCTATCAACACTCCCACAGTTGAATTAATTTTTATAAATCGGGTTTGTAAATTTTTATCGTCCGTAAGAAACTATTTTTCATCGACGACTAATTTGTATTAGTTTAGGTCCATCTTCACCCCCTACATATTATAACAGGTCTTTTTGAGTCGTTTATTTTCAATTTTCACAGTACTTGCAATATGACCCTGCTGGACTCGAGGCAACCTGCTTGCAGTGTTTGAGATGTTTGCATGAAGTCCCGCACTTCAAGTTTGAGTTGTTATACATGGGAATGGATCCTTGGATAGGGAATGATACGCGCTCTATTGAGCTTCGATCCTGTTTCTTGATTTCAGTTACTTGAAAAAGCACTGATTTCCCAGACTTCCCTGCTTCACTTGTCAAAGCCATGAGTCGAACTACTTACAAACACCCACACGAGGTACATCTAATTTTTTGTGTCTGCTGCTTTTGCACGGTGCTATGGATCATCTCCCTCTCCATTGTAACACTCGGTGATGCAAGCTGGAGACAATGCATATTCCTGCATTTCCTTACCCGGAAAGCCGGTTCTTCTAGGACGAGTGAGTTTAGTGAAAGGCGCACAATTGCAATGCTCACTCCTCTGGGGTGATGGACTTGCTCAGCTGAATGCATAATACAATGCATTGATGCCCCAATCCTACCAATGGAGTTAGAGGTTTGAATTAAGGTGCCTCAGGGAGAGAATACCATTAGTGAATGTCCATTTCAATCGCCATCCTCTGTAGTAAATACCGTCATTACCATCGTGACACCTAACTGCCGAGCAGTCTGAAGTAGAAATAGAGCCACGCTTCATTACCACCATGGAGAACTGATGAAATGAGCAGCACCAAAAGTCATTTCACTACTTGAGCAGTCGAACATTTTAACAGTAACACAGACTGTGATCCAGCCCAGTGATTTTATGTGTCTGCATCTCCAATCGCAAGCTATGGTCTGTTGATGCTCTCCAGCGGACTATTAACACCCCACAAAGATCATCGCAGCCCTTCCTTGCGGTCAAGGTCAGGCGTATTGTTGCTTGGAGCAGAGGTCACCGATCGGTCTCCTGCAATAAATGCTAAGCGTTGAAAGCTTGCATAAACATGAACTTGGAAGCGCCGCAACATACGGCTAGGAGGAGTGCAAGACCTACTTTGATGATTGTCAATTTTCATAAAAACTCCATAGAAGTGTAATTTTAGAGCATCTTTAAGCAGATTTAATTACACAAAATACCGCATCATAGGCGGGTTCAAATGCATAGCTCGATGTCATGATAGCTCCTGTGATGAAGCATTTCATCCGATTGATAAAAGGTTTGCGATGGAATGGAGACCACGCAGATTCAGATTCGAAGATTTCAATTTCTCAAAACTTTCATTGAGATAGCCATATCACAGAAATACATGTGATTTTGTTTTTAGTAAGATGAAGTGGTGGATAGATAAATGGGGTCGCTTATAAAAGGGGTTGACAACAAGATTCATTGAATAAGGGGAATGCCTGTGTCCCAATCGTAAAACGGGAGTGTGGGAAGAATGAGTAGAGTTGGTGGAGGATAAGTAATCAAAACAAATACAGATAAGTCGCATAATGGAAACCCTTCTTTTCGACGAATCGTCAAGCCAGTAAAAGTAGTTCGTTGGTAAAACAAAGTAGGAAAATATTTGGTCTTTGCTGTCCTTTGTCGAATAGCCCTCCGTGTGTCGAATGACATTTCACAAGCGGAATGAAAGTGGTTGATGAAAAATGAAGCAAAATGTACACACAAAAGACTGTGCAAAAGTGATAACACCTGTCCCGTAAAATCACAATGAAGCCAGAACGAAAATGGAAAACAAATTTATGTTGGTGGCTGTGATAGCACTGACTAAACCCGCTCCATATTGAGCTTGAGACTTCGACGGAGGGGTTTGTGATTTGTTTGGCTGGTACTGTGCCATTTCTGCCAGCATGTCGGGCAGAAATATTGGAAGCAATCCAGTGAGCGGCAGAAATAAACACCAGGCAAAACGCGGCAAGTGTCACAAAGTGAATCCTCGAGGAAGGGGTCGATTTGAATAGTCTTCGTGAATTTTGGTGTGCGAACCTCCACGAAATTCGCTGTCACAGCACGCATATAACTGGCATGATTACGAAAGACGACACGGCCAGAACCTTAAACATAAATTCCATTCAGGTTACATATAACCTAATCAGGTTACCGAGACCACAGATGGCACGTGCACATTAACGTACGCTCTCATCAACTTAATGCCCTATTTATTAAAAAAACAAGATTATAGTTTAAGCCTCCAAATTTATCTACACTTGCAGACAGTTTCGGTGCTATAGCTTTACAACCTAGATTTAATTATGAATATTTAATTTAATATTGCAAAATCGCCCCGTTATTCAATTTAATTTTGCATCTCCGTTGAGTTTAGCATCAGACCAGCGCAAAAGCGGCAGCTGCATAAACGCATAAAATAATAATCTGTCAAAATGATTTGCACACACCGCCATTTACGGATATCATGCATTTCAGATTATTTAAATGCACAAGACTCAGACTGTGGATTGTAGTGTACAACCCATGTCGGTTATGCATAATCTAATGCACCTTATTTGTGCGATGAGACGCTTTTAAAATGCCGAATATTAAAAGGGCAGAGCTAAAAAATAACGCATCCTTGCTACCCACACCCCATTCGCTTTTTGGGATTAATTTGGACTTGGTTTGACTTTAAGCCCTAACGCCAATTGACATTCGACTTAATTAGACTATGGCGGTATAATTTATGCAAAATGTAATCGGTCGCTCCATGTTGCCGAACCGGCCTGGAGGGCGGAAAATTACAAAACCCTTGAGAAGGCGTAGAGCCAAACACATCAACGCCTAGATTTTTATACGTAAGCTAACGTTAAGGAACATGAACTCACCGATGGGATACTTGTGCTTGTCAGTATCTAACGCAGCAAAAATAACATTTCCAAATAATTCATTCATGATGGAAGTGAGTGCTTCAGCGGTGATCATTCCGTGAAGAGCACCAACAAATACAGTGTAAGTGAATTGCGAACTGGACTGACCGCCCCCACAGGAGAATTGGCTGTCGCTTATTACCCAAGGGATAACCTTCAACCGTAACAAAATAAGATGATTAGATAGACAAGGCTGATAAGAGAGAGTGAGCAATCGGTAAGGTAGAAAAACAGAACCTAAGCTATCTCCATGCCTTGCGTGTGTTAAATCTGACTACTTAAATGCTGTAACATTACGATCGGTGATGAACGGAGCCGCAATAATTCGAAGTCAGTTCCTGAGTGCACTACACAATTGCCTAAATTCCTAGTTCATGCATGCAGTTACTGTTAGAAAGGAAAGTTTTAAGTGTTTAGCTCATACTGTTCTATAATCTGCTTAGACCATTTTCGGAGCATTCTACTATTTCACGCATGATTAGTATGCTCACATGCCATGGTAGGTTGTGCTAGTCCTAAAACTTGTAGTCAGCCACGCTTTCAGATACGCTCGAGGTGAGTCACTTGCGGGTTAGTGAAGAACGCCACTTAACTGGCGTTGAGCATTTACACGCCACGAGGTCTGAGCAAATACTTAAATGGTAAAGCACAATATTCAAATAACTCGGTCAATTTCAGCAGTCGAATGGGATGAAAATCTAGCGCATACATTTCCGTTACGTATAGTTCGTTTCAAAATTTCCTTACAAAATACATAAGCAAACAGTGTGCTGACTGTCACTCTAAGGTCTCTTTGAAGCTACAGCTAATTGTTTAAAGCCCTGGAACTGTTATAGAAGTTTAGGCCAATCAAATCGACCAAAGCTACACTCACCTGAACACTCTTTGACTTGAACTTGGGAGATGAAAGTTTAAAGTATTCTCCACCATTTGATGCATCTCGTGTGCACTTTGCCAAAAGTTCGGCGACACAGGATTCATGTTCAAATAACAGGTAGCAATATCCCTTTGGAGCAACTGACATGGACCGATCATTCCCGATGTCATTATTGTGATGGTTGGAGATATAGCCACCATCTTTCTGCGGCCAGAGGACTGACACATTCCCAAATTGAGAGAAAGTGTTGATGAGATCTTCACTTGTACTATCCCACGGTACTCCACCGAGAAAAACCTTCCTGGAGAAGCACATGGAGTTGTAATTTCGCATCGGTAACTTTCCGCTCCAGCGATGAATTGTCTCTAATTTTTGGGAAGCGTTGCCTACGAAGCATAATTTTTTACATTGCTCGGAAAATTAGGAGAATACAAGTTGCCTAATGTTTTTTATCATACTTACTAGCTGAATTTCTGTAAATTGTAGCGGCCCGGTCAATGTCTCCCTCAAGGTTGCATTGACGATTGCAACATTGTCCGGCACATTGTGACCCGTCATTCACGTGCGGTCGGTAATATAGTGAAGTAAGTGGAGATTCATTGCCAAAATTCGTCGACTGGCGAATATGGTGCCTATTGTGTGCCATGGGTGGGTAATGGTAGCTATTCGACTGCAAGGCTTTGCTACTATCAAACCTGGCCGCATATGCTGTAAGCTGGGAAGTTAGCGCATCCATTAATTCACTGTTATTCCTCACAGCCTCTGTTGAGAGTAAGCTCCCAATGGATGACAGGAGACTAACATTGCTAGGCCCATTGCTGGGCATGCCTAGCTTAGTGGTCAACAATTTAAGCAGAATCTGCTGAGCATCAATCTGCCCATTCTCAACGGACACAAGGAGAGCACTCAAAAGAGCAGGATTAATTTTGCCGAGACTGACGAGTAAACTAAACAGTTGATTGGATAAAATGTTATTCGCTGACGCCAACGATGGAACTTGGCAAGCTCGTGGATTGGAGCTAAAAGAACCCCAATCATTTAGTGATTGCGGAACTTCGTTGGGCGTTGAAATCGGCCGGGTTGGCGAGCCTGTATTCGTAGAGTCGATCGCCAGCAGATGGAGTAGTACGTTAATGAGCTGACTCGAATTCAGATCTAATGAACGAGAAATTGAAATTCTACTGCCAGTTCAATAAAAAAAGGATTTACGGTAACTACAACTCTTCCAATGTATTTATCTTAACTGAATAGGTAAAGTGGTATAAAAAGCTTTTTAGCAGCATCGTATCTATGACATGGAATACTAATGCAATGTTATAACAATCCATTTCAAACTCTAGACACTTTGATCCCTTGACCTCGCCGCTCTCAAATACAATGAAAAATATGATAGATTAACGGCTGAACCAAAGGACACAGTGATTCAGTGCAAAATGCAAGAAGTATTAGAGAGCCCACAGCAAAAATTAGAATAAATGGTACAAAATATTCTACTAATCGGGTTTGGGGAAACAAAGTGGTGCAGATCGAGTATTTACGAAGGAATGAAGTGAAAGGGAAGTGCAGAAAAAAAACGATACAGTGGAAACAGGAAACTTTTGAACTATTCAAGCATGGCGATGTGAAACGCAGTCTTATGAACATTTTAAGCGCTTGTAAGTTTGTTTGCTACGTCATTTATTAGATGTACTCAAATACTCATTATGAGTGCTTGGACCGAAAAATAGGGCTAGGCACTTACCACTGCGCCCTGATAAGTTTAAAGCAAGCTGACTAAGCTGTGCTGCCAATGTAATGTCATCTAAGGCCGCTGAGTTAACCGACTGGGAAGAGTCCTGACCGTTAAAAGGCAGCTGTTCAGGCCGTGGCTCATCCCTAACTTGCTGAGACGAATTCGACTCCACGGCTACCTGTAGGGTTTGGTTTTCATCAGTGTCCACTGCTGACGCAGTCGCAACCTTTGACATCCCCGTGTTATTGCTCGAAAGTTCCAGTAAAGCCGTTTTAGTCTTCTCAATTTCGTTAAAATGGTCGAAATTGGCTTCAACACCATTGATATTATCAGCTTCCGGTGCTCGAGAACCGCTGGATGATCGACTTGTGGGTCTACTGCTTCCATCTGTCAGCTCATACACGTATTTGGCTGCTGAGACCAAATTTTGGTCCAATACCTGGTCTTGCCCTGTTCGTGAGGAAGTAGTTGGTGTTGGCGGATAGGGCATGAATGCGCTTGAGGTTGTGCATGGCTGACCAGCATCCAAGTTCAAAAAATTTTGAGAATTCATGCACGGTGCATTTGAGGCGATGCCAAGACGGTTGGTGCAAATGTGGTATGGATTTTCGATTGGTGAGTTCACTGCATTAGAGTCACCTCGAAAAACAACTTTTGGTTCCTGAACCCCAGAACTCTGACGCCCATCGATATCTATGGTGACGGTGTGACCGTATTTCTGTAAATACCGCTCATAGGTATTGCGATTGTTATTTCGTTGATTATTCTGCTGCTGACGTCCTTCAAGTGGACTTGTGTGTAACCTTGGGCTGGGTAAAGATCCATCTGTCCCGATACTGTTGGATCCCATGCATGATTCAGAGTGGAAGGAATTGCTCGGCGTGTAGAATCCATTATCAATGGTTAATGCGTTGGTTCCATAGGACGGAGACAAGTAGTCGAACCGTGATGGTCTTCGAACCAAATGCTGCATCGTTTGATTGCCAGCAAGGCACGCTCCTGTAGGCGCTTCTATTAATCTCCGATTGTCAGGGTGATCGCCAGTCTCCAGTAGCCTTGGATTAATATCAATGCCGGAATCGTTCTCTTTTTCAGGCAAGCTCTGTGCGCCAGTGGTGTTAGTGCTGGCAGCGTTGGTTTCAACTAAAGCAAAGGTATGCGTCGTGGTTACATTTTAATTGCGCGCGTTTTCCGATGCTTGAAGCCGCTGATTGGATAATTTAGATCGGTGCGTATGTGTATTTACGCGCACGGAGCGTACCTACGAGTGCGTGCAAGGCCTCAATCAACCCATGCTGGGTCTTGCGCACAACACAGCGGTGCTAGAGTTGGCACCCTCGTATGATTCACCACCCTGATGACGTATATTTAAAGTGCAGAAAGCTGAAAAAGACGGGTTCTACTTGATGGAATTTACAACCTTGTAACAGTTATGCGGGTTCGAGAGAAGGTTTCATTAGATCTTCCAAAAAAGTAATAAATTTTCAGGAAATACATATAGGCAGAAGCCCTCATTTGAATGAGTGGATGTTTGATTCACACAATTGTTCCGATTAAACCCTAATTTGATCATGATTATTGGCACAATGTCAATTTCGCCCATCGATGGGTGGAACTAATAGGTGCACTGTAAAAACGTTCAAATATAACCCTCGCCCAAAGGCAGGAGAGCCTCGTGCCACAGATGACAAACCATGCACTCCAAATAGCTTACCATAGGAAGTTTTAGGAGTTTGCACTTTTATGAAAAGTTAATGTGAAAATTTTTTGGGCAAGTGTAAGGACTTCGTGAAGAAAAGAAGACGACAGAACAGTAATTATGCATAAGAGCATATAAGGGTATCGGTAGTCTTAAACGTTCTCCCTACAAAGTCTTCAACTTAATTTGAGGTGAACCACAAACAAAGTGGAATTACTCACCACAAAGTTTGAACGTAACATTCCCATCAGGAGATATGGCAGGATCTTCTAGCAGAAATCTTTTAGTATCTTCATTGATTAACCATATGGTGTTTGAAGCCATTTTCAATCTCGACAACCCAGAATTGATGTACCGAGCCCACGAACAAACTGCTACCCTAATTAACGCATAAATGATTAGCATGCGAGCAACGTTTCGCAGTACGGCAATATGAACTCTAATCGGCGTTTAAAAAGGCACGAGGCAAGACCACACATTCGATCGGAAAAAATCGATGACCCCTGATTGGAGTTCACGGTGCAGGCGTGCCTCGGATTGGGTGCTGTCAGGATTGTCGTTCGGTGGACGAATAAAAAGTTAAGACGTCAGTTAATTGCACTCAAGTGCACGCATTAGTGGCGACTGGCATTGCACACTGAAAGTAATTTAGGGGTGGCGATTGGTACCGTTAAACTGGACTTAATTTGCGCCAAGTACATAATAAAGTGGCTCCACTTTTGGATTCTGGAAACTTTTAGATACCACAATTTTCATTTTTACTGTGTTAAATGTTTTTTTACAGAAGTATTCGCTTTGATATTCGGAACAAGGTAAATCTTTCACTAAATTGATGCCAACATTAGCCCATCCAGTATGGAATAGAGATAGTGTTAAAGCTCTTAAACCATTTACTAAGGTACGCAGTCACTTAACGTTACAATTGGATATTTTAGTAGGCAGTATTCGTAATAAATCATAGAGGTTCCTGTTGGGTTGCCCTTACCAAGGCGTATGCGTGCACCCGGCTTGTGAAGAATCAAAAATGGTGCATTTGAACGCCCACAGGTTATGTGAAACACATGTCGATACGTGTTTTCGGTTTGTCTCGTTGTACTTCCTTCACCTACCCTTGGTCACTAATTTAACCGGATTCACTGAACCAGGTAGAAGGAACGATGATGTTGATTTCATTGTCGTAATTACGAAGGGCACTCCTTGCTCTTACAAAGTCGGCATCAAATAAGTTTCGGTTGTAACTCTTGACAAAAACGGAAGTCTTCAGTCGTGCTAGTACAAAATATGATGATCTTATGAGAAACTCTTAGAAGTCAATTAATTGGGAATGCTTTACACTTGATTCTATTGTTAACATTAGTTCATGCTTCATCATTGCTCTTGTTGTTAACTGCGAAGAGTGTGTTTCAGGTTCCTACGTTTGGAGTTCGCTGTAAGATCGAGATCTACAGTGGCGGTCAGACCCTGGTGGTCCATAGAGTATGGAATAAAATTTTAATTGTCCTACTACCTCCTTGAATAACACATTAGTGCCAGGTTGCGAGCACTCAAGGGCAAGTGCTGGCATTGCTTATCCTATATGAACCTGTACCAGTAAGAGGAGTTAGGAAGCCATCCCAAGGCATAACCAGAGCTACATTCTTTGAAAAAGCGGACCATGCTAACAAGTTATAAAACAAAAGTTCTAGACCAGTTCTGCTTTGCTTGATAATGTTTGGCCACCCCGCCTCTGCCAGTATTTGACTTTGCTCATAAAGTGAAGTTACGCCTTGCTAATGCTATTTAATTAGCGTCGACACATCATATAAGCTTAGCACCATCATGACTCACCATAAACAATGACTTTCAAACTGGCGCGGGTGGCTTGTAGTATTCAAGCCAGAAATGTGTCGACAATTTCTGTGCGCACTGACGAATCTACTTTTGATTTCAGGGTGTCCACCACCAAGCAACACCAAAATGTTAACAAAAGTGCACATTTTGCAGTAAAAATTAAAATTAAACAACAAATGGATGGTGGATCATTGACTGGCCCATAAATTTCTTGACTAACTTAGATCGTGTTAAACACATTTGTTATAAAATTTTTGTCTTTTGTTGAGGTTGCGTTAGACGTTTGCTTGAAGAAACCGCTGTAACTGAAATTCCGTAACTTACTCAGATTATCGACAATTCATGACACCAACGTAAAAGCGTAGTTTGAAGCACCAACAAGGAGATAGAATGATAGTAGAAAATGAGATTAGTTACTACAGTGTCGCCCGCCTTACTCCGAAGACCCTGTAATTCGCCCCTCATAAGAGGTAGTTTGCCCTGGAGCGTTCTACTAGGTATTTAATGCAGCATGCGGAAACTTTGGCGCTATTACTAGGGGGGCCTCCGGCGTTAGACTCCGCAAGCTTCCCCAACACGACATTCCCCTGCAAGGACATTTTAGACATAGCATTATGTATTACAGCCACTTTGCAAATTGGATTGTTTTAGGTGACAAAAAAGGTTGTTACGATGATTCGCCTGAGGACGAAGATACTGAGTTAGGGGTGAGAAGTCAAATTGAATAGGATCTGATGCTGGAAGTTTTGGGAATAAGAAGATATTTGCTGTTGCAATTCAGGCTAATAACATTCTTTGCAATTTCTCGTTTATGTAAAAGGTGATTGTCTAAAGTAAAATACACACTTTAAGGGTGCAAGTTGGTTGTTTGGAATTTCAGCTTGATCGTATATCCTGCAGGTCATCACTTGGTTGTTTTTAGCAGAGAGAGAACAATTTTTTAATATCTAAAGGTCCTCGAATGTTAAAATGGGTGCTAACCCGGTTTAGAACGACAACAACACAAGGCTCAACCGATATTGAAACTCACCACACGAAAACTGAAGTCTACATTTTATCTTGTGCCTTGACAGCCTTCAAAGCTGGTGAAACTTAATCACAGTCTGGTGGGAGACCAAATTCTACCTAAATTGCTTTTGGTTTAACGACTTCATATGGAAGTCGAACAGCGGCAGTCTCCTGAATCTTCCCATCCCTCATGAATTTGGCTCAGGCACCTACCAAGGAAGCTTGACTTATCTGCAACCATCTTCAAGAGCTGAAATCCAGCTGTCGCATCTTTGTGGACGTGGAATAAGGAAACCAAAATATTGTCCGAATGGTATTGTAGATTCAACAATACCGAATCGCCAACCAGTCTAAATTTTTTGAAGTCCTTTCACCTGACGCCTAGAAGGTGGGTGGATTCTAACTTTGAAAAATGCAAAAATTTGTAATTACCTCTAATACTTGAGTCATTTTATTCAGTACTCACTGCTTCCTTGAACACCTTTCGATGGAAACGTACTTTTCGGCGTTGTCTCAAATGTGTTAAGGTTATTTCCTACTCCAAAAGGAATCAGTTTTGCCACAACCTCGAATATACCTATAGTTAGAAATGAATCATCTCCTCCCAAAGTTGGCTCAACTGCAAAGACATGACTTACTGCAGAAAAATGCAGATATTTTGATATACCGATCCCGGGCAGTTGTTTTTAAAACGATCTAAGAGATGCGGAAGCAACAGGTACCACACTAGCTTGCAGGGATGGATTACCTCAGAAAATTGCAGATATTTACACGATCAAGGTCTACTTATAAAATTCAGACGTTAGCTTAGTGCTAGCCAGCGCGATGACTCCCATTTGCAAGGGTGCGAAACAGTCACTACGTGTGTGCACGTTCATGTGCATATTTGTACCTTTGATGGCTCTCAGAAGGCGCTGTGCAGACTCCGTTTCACTTGCATCACTGGTGGAGACTGCACTTGTGCTAGCTCATGGTATTTAATATAAACCTTCTCTCCAGTGCTGTTGTTAAGACCGAAAATGCCGACCTCAACACGGCGCTTTGGGCAAAATCACTCTAGTCAAAAGTTTAAAACCAAAGCACATTAAGTTACTTCAGTCTAACAAAGAGGCAGCAAAGAAGGCCTGAAATGAGTTCCACAAAAAGACAACAAGTGAGGGTTTTATGAAACATATGAGCACTATAGAGGCGTAAGTGCGTTTAATTAAAAAGTTAGGACGTCCTCGTGATTATCCAAGCGTCAATACGCGCAGTGAGTGAAATTATGCCGAAAAGAACTTTAATCAAAAGTACACTTAGTGTTTGTCTTGATTGAAGAGTGAGCCTAATTTAATCCGAGTTCTATTGAAGAGGCAGTGAAAACCAAGTCTTCTGAATATTTGAGAATCGGGTAACCAGAAGTTACTGACTTCCTAAAGTCAAGCTTTGAGTGAGCCTAATGATCGTACATTTATCCACCCTGGCGCCATGTTATACTCATTCTAAGATGACTTAAAAACAAAATAAAAATAAACAAGCACTTTTTTATTTTTACGTGTCGTTCGATCATAGCTACAAAAGAGCTACACGAGAGGGCCCTTAGCAGGTGTTTTGCCTTTGTTGTCAATCCTAGATCCGATTTTACGAAGGTATAGGTCCGCCTTCGTCTACTCTTGCATAACTATCATTTAGTTGGGAGGCTTATAATAGAAAGCTTCGTTTATTTGACACTTAATTACCAAAAAGTGCTAGTCATTTAAGGACCCACGTTGAAGCCTGCACCAATAGTTTAGCGGGGCTGAGATGTCATAAAGCTGCATAGGTCTGTGTTTTAAAAGAAAGTGTCTTACATGTGCTCTTGGCGTTTGTGTCCGCGAGGTTTACAAGATCAGGCCTACCTCTTTGTTGATCATATTTGCCCACACCATGTAAGTTAATGGCATCGGCTTGAAGGTGAGTCTCAGCACCACTACCTAACGAAGTCGGTAACCTCACTTGCAAGCAGGCCATGATGCCGAACAATGTTTGGGAGATGCTTAAATACCAATTAAATCACTTCATACGTAGAGTTACAAAGATGCGGAGTTCATTCCACTCCTTAAGTACCGTTTCTTAAACTTTAACTCGATTAAAGTGCTATTTCCTCGAGATTTTCGCCTCAGCAGAGTTTCTTTTGCACTTTAAAATGAATCTCAGATGAAGAGACGAAACCAGCCTCATTACTTTTTTATCAGATTGCCCAATCAAGAGGAAAAAGAAAAATACTGCTGAAGGCTTGGAATAATCAATTACTGATTTCGGATTACCATCTTTAGCTCCTGTCCCATTGTATCTCAGCACAAAGGCGAAAGTAAGCTTCCTTGTCCTAATCTGTTTGATGTTATAAGTGTAGAGAGTAACTGACATTCCCAAGCATAAACATTGGTATCATCCCTTCTACTTTCTGTGAAGCAGACAACGAGGATGCTAAAAGTGCTTTGCAACTTATACTGCTCATTTTATACATTAGAAGTCATTAAGCTTTTAGCAATTGCGTACTTCCTTATGATTATTTGCAGATTTCTATAACAAGAGTTGATTGTCACAAGAATATTACAAGTGCTTATCCAAGCGTCTCAAATAAGTGCGATCGAGGTGTTGAAACACATGACGCCGGCTCCAAGATTGTCAAAGGGAGTCGTTTCGTATAAGCATAACCAGTGCGTAAACATCCTTACATGTTCTCCAGCAGGTGTTTGGTTCTACACAACTGCAACGGTGTATTATGGAAGCAATGGATCATGGGATTCATTATTCGGTATTCAAAATGGAAATTCGCCTTACCATAAATGAACAAAAGCAAGTTTGCCCTTAATAATAAAGAAGAAAAACTACTGAAGGCACACACTTTCCTTGCGCAAAACACGGTCATGTGGCAATTATTACGCCTTTTTCAATAAATTAATATGTACTTCGTGACTTCTACATTACATTCACGCACCCTCTTTCACAGCATTGCCAATAATATCTTTTGCGTTTAACCACATCTCTAAAAACTAAAACTTCGGAAATCCACCTATTCGGAAAGCATGCGCGAGCATTTACCATCGCAAGCATAGGTCAGGATAATAAAATGCGGCAGGAAGCACGTTCGCGAACCTTAATGTACACAGAGATGGTGCTCTGTGTAGACGCCGCCACCGCTTTGCGCGGAAAGGAATTTATCGATTCCTGCTGCTGGGGCTTGAGGGGGGACATGTGAGTGCCGTGGCACCCGCCACTCACCATCATAAGCAGCGCACGAGGCTCATTTTTCTGCATTAAAGGCAGGTGCCAGCAGGTGAATGCTGGAGGCCTATCGCTCTCCGACTCAACCTAATATTTTCGCGGTCATCAGCACTTTTCTGATGCTGCTGACAACAAAGGCAGTTCTGAAATGCTTTAATGTGGCCTTGACAACCACCAAATTACCTATTGTCGTTCTCAGTGTGCACCATACTACATATGATTCTCAGCCAAAGCAAAAACGCAAGATTGCTTCTCTGAACAGAATCAAAGAAGGTGAAACAAATTATTGAAATATATGCATGCTGATACTTATAAATGGCTGGTGAGGTACTAACTGATGTCAGAAGGTACTCCTCGCGTTGACCCCACCGCAACCACAGCACGCCAGCGATTAGGGCGACCACGCTTTTTAAAAAATGATATGCAGACATTTGGTCTACAGTTATGTGGTGTTCTGTAACAGATGGCTTGTTGTGGTTTGTGTTGCACCAACTGAGGAAAGGCCAGGAAGTTCTTGATTCACATACATGTTAAAGATCAAGCGATTATTAAGCTCTCCTTCTGACTAATGGGCATTCTTACAACGAAAATAATTTGGTAATAATGAAAGACAGAGTGCCAATTGCAGACATTGCGTACTCAAACAGGCATCGGATGTGCATGTGTGAAGCTGCTATGGAATTTTCGATGGGTTTGAATTTGTTAAGATTCCTCTGTCACGTTAATGACTACTTCCACCGCGATATTGCTAACTGAAGGACGTTTTGCCTACAAAGTTCTAGCTAAATTCATTAACACAAACATCCACCTTTTGCTTTTGTGAAGATTATCGTAATCATTATTATGAACCGGGTATAGAGAACGGGACCAATAACAATATTTCAGTCAGTTATTCCCCACACTTCAAATAATGATCCCATAAAGTTATATAGAAAAATGGAAAAAGCCTCGCTTTAATTTTATCTTCGCGCGCATTAGAAGGGTACAAAGTTCAGATCAAAACGCCCAACGTGAATTATCCCGTGATTATTTATTGCCGTAGGCACTTAACTCAATTAGGTGATGCATATTTCACAACTAAATGCTATAAACGAAATCAGGTAGTTGTAAGTCCAACTCGCATAGTTCCCTTTTACAGGCAACTTCTTCTAAGTAATGTGTTTTTGTCTTACTATACTGTTCAATGGTCAAGTTGTATTGCCAGCTTGATGTCAAGCGCTTTATTCAACTCCGGAATGCCAGCAGCTGAACATGGATTGCGTACCATAGAAGTTGGATAAAACAAGTGTTCGTACTTTACAACAACAGGAACGACACGACTAAACAACCTCTCGGTTCATTTTGTGTAGATGTAAATGTTACAGTTGAATAACACGACCTTAGGTGAGAGAATGATTGAGCAGACCAATGGTTTTCGAAATTACTGAAATAAAATCCCCGACTAACTACCACTAATGGAACTCAAGCCGTTACCTCTTTCAAAGTTAAAGAGACGCTTGTTATATAAACAATACTGTTCAATTTGCTATTACAGGTGAGAGGCGGCTGGTCAATTTGAACACGAAACTTGTGCTTGAATAAATTTAGAACTCATCCACAGAGTAGCGCCGGATCGTTGTCTTATCCATAGTCATGCCACTTTCTATCCCAATAAAGCCCAATAAAGCCCTCCCAGTCAACTCTCCCATGAAATCAGAGGATGAGGCATTTGAAGGTAGGCTACGTTCGTGTCACAATCGGACGTAGGCAGCGAATCACACGGACACAAGTACCAACGATTTAATTAATCAAAACATCCCAATTAGCCTAAGTTCAGTGTTTCTTTGGGAATCAAGAGCTACAGAGAAGCTTAAAGCGCATTAGAGAGTCGGAAGGATATTCCATAAACATCGAAATGATACGATTGGATTCGCCATGGGCACGACAGTTAAGTAGATGATTAACGCATAAATCACTTCTCACTTCACTTTTACCTTTTGGAAACGTAAACCAATACAAATGGACTGCATGCCAAGTAAACGACAGCCCACGAGCAAAGCCAAATCTAAACAGAATAAGATGTTGAAAGCTATGGCTGCGACTGCAAGATGGAGGCCGCATCAAAGTTACTCAAATGGATTACCAAGACACCACAACACACCTTCTCCATTGGACTATCGGTAGATTTAGGACTATGAGCTCTTTGAACGTAAGTAGATGGGTGCTAGGAAAATCTCCACTAGCCAAGCAGTGCGATTAAAAAGCATAAAAATGCAGCCAAAAATAACTAAACGGGTGCATATTGTATCAAGGAAGGCCAAAATGTACTGGATTTCCCAAAGTCACATTCACTGCCATACGCTTGTTGGTACACCCAGTTGACCCTCGATGGATAGTAGCGAACTTCAAAAAAAGGCGTAATACCAAATGAACGGAAACAACTCGTAGTAATACATCGATCACACACTACAGGACAAAAAATCCGTTACTGCCCAAAGCTGCTGTGTCCTCAACTATGAGGGTCGACAACCTTTCGGGTTGATCAAAGCCTCAATTGTCCTGATATTGCATTACACATATATGACACTGTAATAAATCGCTTCGAAATTTCAGGAAAATGAAACCAGTACCTAAAATCATGCAGACATGAAAAGCCAATAGTGTTTATAAGCTATCTCACAATTTCGTTTAAAAGTATGATCAACTCAAAGAAAGTACATTATGTAAAAGGCTGTGTTAAATCAGAGGGCATCATAAAAATCACGATGAGAGTTGTGAACGAATCAGACCAACTTGATCAGCTCTGGTACGATCAATTTTGATTAAAAGACGCTGAATCAAACAAAGCATTGGTTCAGATCGCTCCTGTATGGCTAGATTAATAGCCTCCTCACTTTGCCTACAAGTTGAAAAGTTACCATTAGCGATATGCATATCACACATTTCAGGTTTTAGCGTTCTTGCATTTAAGTCCTACCCTATCAGGATGAGAGATCGTATTCTTTGCTCCAAAGGCAATTTTCCTATTATATCAGCCGCCTGTTGCAATCGGCCGGCGTCCGTGTATATCTTGACAAACACCTACAAAGCACGGCAAATCGTCCATATACTCAAAAGTTATCAGTAGGACTAAATTTACGTGATTATTACTTACGTCTAGCTGAACAGGTGGACGCTTGACAAAGGCCATTCGCTCGATCTCGGTCCACGCGGCATCGGTGTTGGGGGAGAGGGCGAGTCCAATGAGACGCAAGTAAGCAACTCTCTTCTCGGGCATCTTAAACTCTCGCCGCACGTGATCAGCCAGCCGCTCCGTGATTTGGGTTCCAGCGGCTATAAGACGCGTGTAGGTAGCATTGACAGAAGCACCTTGCCACCGGAAGGCCGCCGCCTCAAGTACTTGTGGTAGCACGTGCGACCCGGATGAGCGAGTGTCCAAGCAAAAGTATGGCGCAGTCACCTGCTGTTCTTCTAGGCGTCTGTGAAAGTTTATCAACTTGCCCGCCTCCTCACAGGTCTACAGAGCAGGAAGAACCAGTAGCACTTGACAGTTCCAGTAGGATCAACGGCTCTACAGTAGCTGAAGGCATCGGTTGTTCCGTTAAAAGCTCATTAAATACCAATCTTGTATTATACGTCCATAATGCTACGAACTCTAATAAATAGGTAAACCTACATGGGAAAGGAAGTCAGCCTTTATTTGTTGATAGGAATCTCTTGCCTTCAGTAGCAATGAGGATCGACGCGCAGAATCCTAAAGACCAAATGTGGAAATTAAGTCACATTCAAAACAAATACACGTTGCCAGATAGACGTGCTAATTCCTCCACGAAGCAATGAAGTTAAGTCGTTGGAGTCTTCCTTGATAGTAAGTTAATAAAGCATTTCTCCCAATCGAATTCGTTGTTTTACTATTCTACCGAGATTTGATTGTAAGCAATTCGGCTTAGAGAAACATTAATGTTGAAATTCAAACACTAAAACCAACTTTTCAAGTTCACGGTTCACATCTAAATGATGTAAAAAAGGATCAACAGAGCTGCCATTGCCTTATGTCACATTGTACCAAACCCAGTCTTTAAAAAATGGAGGTAATAAACATCACCTTCGATGAGAATGCTTCAAGAACAGTTCTCTGGATACCCAAAGCAGGATCGTCTTCCTGTTGGAGAACAGCGAGGGTTTGTGAGGCGAGTTTGCCCCTAGGCTGACGTGGAGCACCTGCACCCTCGAGATACTGCCGGTATAGAGCAAGGGCGATGGGATGCTGCCGGAGGAGGAGGCTCAGTGCAGTAGGCTCCATACGCGCATCGCCCTCTTGTAGGGGTTGAAGCACCCCCGCAAGCAGGAGATCAGCGTCACCCGATTGCACTGCACGAGTCAGAGCGTGACCGTAACGGCGCAGACGCATCAACAGAGAGATCTGTGCCGATATCCGGGGCTCCAGCTCTAAAAGCCGTTCCGCCAGAACTAACTGGCCGCATTCGATTGCAGTCTCCGCCACCGCCGCGAATGAAACGCCCCCACCACTACCGCTCGGATCATTACCGCTACAACTGCTGCCACAACGACTGATTATCTCGAATAGGCGACGTATCAATATACTATTATTTGTATCGGAGGGATTGGCCGACTGCGGTGTCAGACTTTTCACCCAATGACAGAGAATTCGCGTCAATCCCGTTGTTTTCATCTATGATAACAAATGACCGTTACTCAAAAAATGAATGCTTATAATCAAATTAATAGTCCGAAAATTCCAGTTTGACCTCGAATACACCAGATAAACATAATTAAAGCAAGTGGTTTCTCTTAAAATCCCTCCTGAACTGTGCATTATACCTGAATATGTTCGGGAATTTTCGAGGACAACTTTTGGTAGACCCGAACAAGTTCAACAGCAAGAGGATAGTGTTTTCTTGCAAGCAACCGATTTAGAAGATTTGAAGGACCAAGAACCTCGAATTGCTTCCAAGTAAGTGCCATTCCGATCCATTCGACTGCAATGCTGTTTAGCAGACGCAAGATTGTGGTGATTTGAATTGTCAGCTCAGATCTAGAGTGAAAACGAAACTCCCGTACGGATGAATGAAGGAAGGATTGGCCAAACGTTCAAGAACTAAAACTAAAGTGACATTCAAAGACCCACAAGTTATCAAGTGTACTGCAGTCAAGTTCTTTAGCTCCGGGGCTAGGAAACGCGAGGATAATGGAGAGGAAGCTGCGACCGAAGTGAGCGGCCGCAAGGAGAGTCCGCTGAAAATCTGAGGAGGAGGCGGGGACACATTGAGCAGCGGAGAGTAGACACGCAGAGACAGCATCGTGCATACGGCTGGCAGAGTGGATAGGGCGAAGAAACTCGTGCGCACGACCTGAGCCAGCCTCCCACTCTCGATAAGCAGAAAGCAGAAGAACAGCCGAACTGGATGCTCCAATGCGGCCCAGGCACTCTAGCTCCTGAGGCACTCGCTGAATTATTTCGTGGGTTGTTGGCGTCAGCACCCGGAGGCCATCCACCTGCAAGTGCCAACAATTAGCGTTTCAGCTCAACTACATCCCTATGTTCTCAAAGTGAAAGTTGACATTAATTATCTGTTTTTAAGATATAATCAAAGCGAATAGTATGCTCCAGCGCTATTTATGTGCCACATACAATTAGAGTTTTAAAATAATTTATTTGAACAGGTGTGTGTGTGTGTGTGTGTGTGAAAATTGAAACTTTATGACAATTCCCCAAAAGATAAATTTGGCTAACACATACTCCCCGCCGTTAATAAGAGCTCAATCAAGAAAAACAAACATTACTGGGTAGAATAAGTCCCTTTGTAACATAAGGATAAAGATAATTCGCCTCACAATCGAGATTTGAGCCGATGAAAACAAGGATGGTCCATGGCTATTTGAAATAGATAAGGATCTGAGCGTTCCCGTCGTTTCTCATTGCAAAAAAATTACGGCTCGAAAGTGATGAAAAGTTAAATTGCCTTTGCTACTGGACGTTTAGGTCCGTAAGTACTAATAAAGCTCGCGCAAATCAACAGATTCCCAGAGAAGACATGTACCAACTACATGGTTAAACAGCACATCTTACTTACTTCAGGTTGGATATGTACAAAGGAGGGATAAAAGAGTTCGTAGACATTTTTTTCCAAATCAGTGATGACCACAAAATTTTGCCACTGAAGGGCGACAGTGGAGTTATCAAGCCAGGCCATGTCAGACGGAAGGGTGGCAATGTGACCGCCATTGCTGTTGCCAACCAAAGACGCGGCGCGATCCGAAAAGTCGAGTTCCATGCAGACGTCAAAGACAGGACCAACGCCGGCTACAAGTAGCAAACCGCTGTCCATATAAAACGCTACTCGCTCCTCGTTCGGCGAAATTGCCATTTTGTGGAAGGCTGAACAACGGTTTTGCCAGCTCTGATTTGGAATTTCGACCTAGTCACCAAGAGGGAAACATAAACTTTCCATCTACATACGACTAATTAAAGGGAAATTTCGCAACATTATAAATAAATCTCAATATAAAGACGTGCACCAATTGTATGGTTAAAATAATCGATACTTCAGGAATGAGAATTGGTACAAACGGGAAGACCATGCCTAATTAATTTACCGATAAGGTTCGCATTTGGGTTCTGATGCAGAAATATTAGAAGCTTTTATCAAAACGTAGATAATGAGAGCAAATTTGGATAGAAAAACGGCGGGAGGCCGCAAACATATTAAGTAAACAACTTTTGCACTATAGGATGAAAAGAAGGGAATTTTTAGTAACAAAACCGCACTACCTTCATTGCCTTGCCTACACCCATACAATGAATCTCTTTATCCAAGGCCAAGAGAACCCAAGGTCCCTTGAAAGCGCCAATTTCACCTGACATGGGCAATGAGAGCACCTGCCAAACAAAGGCCCTATTTGTCAGAGGCACTTCAGTGGATATGGCAAGAATCCGTGGTCGCTCCAGACTAGAGGCCACGAGGATCTGTGAGCTCCCAGTAATGACACCAACTGCTGTTCGCTGTAAGTGATAGAAGCTATTCAAGCGGCCCAACTTACCCCTTCATAGGAGAAGAACTTGGCCTCAATTATTTGGTTATTTTCAGCATCTTTGCCAAAACCAAAACGGCGTTTGAAAGCACCACTCAAGTTGAGAATTGTAACATAACCTGACTTCTGAACTACAGCCAGTTCCTCTGAATCCGACCATGATACGGCAACAGGAGGCGCGTCCTTCCACTATACAACCCTTTTGTCATAAGCTGACAAACTCACCAAATTTTCGGCAAAAACTTTTCCAGCTGCAGTAGTAATGATGAGGACAGAGTTGCCAGCTTGCCTGGGCTTTTGAAGGAAGGCTATAAGACCACCACACCCACCAACAGCAATGAAGAAATCACTGAAGTTATGCGACTCGGCCAAAGCAAGTTTGTAGAGTATGAGCCTCCTGACCTTTGTGTTGGGATATGCAATTAAACACCTACCTATAATAATTTGGTCCAAGGGTGTACCAATCATCACTCAGCTGTTTCATTTGAATTTAAGTTTGTTTGTGCTGAAAATTCTACATACAGAAAACAAAGATAATAAGCGTTCAGATGAGGGATATATTTTCGATGTTAGTTAATCAAGGGCCATAGTGATAGTGCATACTGCCGAGATAAGCGTAGCGCGAAGTTAATAAGAATGTACTTATAAGAACCAATGATAAGGTGATTTCACCAAAGACACAGATATTACAAATCAAAATACAGAGTAATAGCAAAAAAGCTAAAAAATATGATGAGAATACATTGTCAGCACTGATTCAATGCACAAAACTGGGTAAAATGAGGTCAAAACAAAAAACCTATGAAAATACAATCGATCCATTTAAGGATTGGTCAGTAACTCACAATTCAGTGTTGTGCGGTAAAACCAATGGACCCAGTTTCGAAAAATCAAAAATAATTGGTAGACAAATGCACTGGAAGGGATAATTATTGCAATTTTTTTGTACTTTCTAAGCGCACCTCCAAGCCGACCACGTTGTGGAAATTAAGGCTAATTTAACTAAAGAATTAGACTGGCTATTTCGCATAGTTATTGTATCTCGAAAATTGCAAATGTTTTTTCGAGGGTATAAAAGTTCCATGGACTTTACAAATGCAGTTGATGATTTTGTGTGACAGAAAAAAAGAATGCATTTTTTACCGGAACGAGAATCGTGGTATTTACGATTCCTTAGTGCGGGTAATACATAGCAGGTTCCGATGTGCCATTCACCTGACGCTGTGATGTTAGTCTCGGACGTAGCGTCGCGAAACCTCCTGGCCGGTATAAGAAGTCAGTAAGTGCAGCTGGACACATGTATTCTGAAGACGGCAGGACAAATGAGCCTGGATATGACCCGAAGGCCAGCTCACATGTACAAGGATCAGACAAAGCCTAAAGTGCCCCCCCCCCCAAACGTTATGTGGTCACATAAACAAAATATTGCACCGCCCCTCTCTCCTTTTGAGCGGCGCCCTCGGCGCTCCCCTTGGTACACCTCCCGCGCCAGCCATCACAACATATTTGCTACTACATGAAAGCACCCACGAACCAACTGCGCCAGTCGACAGACAACACGAGACTGAGGAACCGTACCAGGTCTTCTCGGCAGTTCCAACTGGATCTGGAGTTACGTTCGATCTGACAACCAGATTCGGGACCGCATACACCTGTTGGCCATCAATTGCTTCCAGGAATAGACGGTGGAGCTCTGGTCTAAACATATGTTACAGCGAAAACGGGATGTGTCACTGTCCCGTGTGTGAGGAGAACCGTAGTATCATTTTGTATGGGATATTCCGACACGAAAGTCTTCCAGATAGTTCACGGCGGTGTCACCTCGGTTGTTAATGGCTTGTCTGTCGAACACGGGAATAAGGTGAGACCACATGCAGACGTCCGTCCAAATCCTTTCGTTGTGAAGGATTCAGCGATTCTCCGTCACCAAGGTAAATGCGCCTCATTCAATTCACGTCCCATTTTCGCCTATATCGTCATCTATTGCACTTCGATAGAGTCAGACTTCCTTCTACGCATGCATAGCTCATGATTGCCGGTGCACAACGCCAAAATGTACTTATTAATGTTAGATTTCTCCACTGAAATGTGGACTTCCTTTGTAGTCTTGTTTGCTGGTTGGACTACAAACTTCTTGCCGTGAAAAGAGAGGCTTCGAATTTCCGACCAAGGGAACCCGATTTTGGAGTCCAACAGATTGTCAGGCTCATAGATACTCAAACCCAGAGCATCGACACCAAGAACAGGCGACATACATCTCCAGATCCTGTGCGATTTGTAGGCACTAAATCTCTGCATCATCCGATCGAACCATTGCTCGTCAGCTTGTTCGTACTGTTCTTTTACGGAAATCAGCCGACTAATTGGCAAAGTTTTGCAACACAAACGTAGGATGCCGGTAAGGCAACGGCGCCTGTTGGACAATAGATTGTCCCGGACACTATGTCGCTTCTTACAAACGACCAACGAAGAACATCCCGCAGAGGGAGGCCCCAACTCGAGTGGAGCAAAGGTTTTCAAAAGCACTTTATACCTTAAAGCCGTTTAAAAAATGTCGGCTTCGCTTTCCGCTGTCACCAGTGTAGCGTCCCGAGACCTCCTGGCCGGTATAAGAAGTTAGTAAGTGAAGCTGGATATATGTATTCTGAAGACAACAGGGCAAATTGACCTGAGCATGACCCAAAGTCCAGTCCACATGTACAAGGACCAGACACCTCCCAAAGTGACCGCCAAACGCCATATTGCAACATAAACCATTCATGAGATTGTAACCGACAGGTAGACAATTAATCAAACCCTCTATGGACCCCGCCATTTTTGAACATCATTACTGTCTCTCTCCCTCGGTATCTGAAAATTCTGTCACTGCATACCTGTTTTTGAGGTATATAAAATTGAATGTGTGGCTTTGGCATAGTCTTTAGATCAGCTCACCCGGCAGGACCAAGGTGGCCTCCATTATGTCCCCACATATACAGGTAGTCAAATAATCAAATTGACACTTCCATTCATCAGCTCCCTGTTTCACCTATACCACAACATACTGAAGAATGAGCCTACAAAGCGTCTACGCAATCAAGGATAGTTATGCACTTTCACCCAGAGTCGAAGTATTCTGATGATCATTGTGAGTACCACAACTAGGCGCCAGAACTGCGGTAAAAAACAGACGTGCGAAAAGGAGTACAGAATTTGACACAGTTCTGCGATAGTTTTTTACTTATTCTCATGCCCTCAACGTATTTGTGCAAATGTGGTAGGGGAATTCCTCAGAAAGACTTTTGAGAGCCCACACGACTTTATGCGAAACTCGGAACTAGAGCGACTATTGAAGGTAGACCACTTCTAACACCCCATCCACAGCAACATGCACTTCTTCATTCTACCGCCAGCAATATAGCAATACTTCTCCGAAGACAATTACTTTGGCAGCATACCTTTTTTGCCTTATAGGAAGCCAATATAGCCAGTCACTCTACCGTAACCGCGAGCTAAGCAAATATTAAATGTCGTGCTCAGGCGTCCGTAAAGGAACAGCCGGACCTACCTAACCTATTTAAAGCCCTTTGTATGAATAATGCCTCATTAACTGAGACCAATATTTGAGTTGCAAACTCAAGGCATATTAAGGCGGAAGAACTTCATACGCTATGGTTAGGATTATCGATAGAACTGCACAATAAGCAGCAGTACATGTGCTCAGTACGTTTTTGAGGTATATTTGGTGCCTGAGCGTAAAACTGACGCCAAGCCCGAAAATATGAATTTACTGCAGTGCAGTACTATCAGCGGGGGTGTTACATTTATGACCACAGTTTGAGTGAGGAAATCGCCTTAGTGACAGGACAATCTCAATGCCTGGTGTGTGGGGAAAGAGGTCTACGCAACTTGCCACTGTCGGAAAAAAAGGGGCTCCAGCATATTTTTTCGAAGGAGGGCGAGCAAACCTGGAAGGCGAAAAGTTTATGAACCAAGTCAGCTCAGATTTTGTAATGTCAACAATCTGCATAAGTTAGAATGTGCATAGGCAATTACAAACTACACTTTCAAGCTACAAAGTAGTCCAAACTGGTTTCGCACTACGTTCCATTGACGTGCCGTAAATATTTAAAGTAGGTTTCAGCAAAGAGACTAGGGATTGAAAATTCTCACCAAACAAAGGTGGAAAATGATGTTCAACTCGTGAGTGAATACGTTTGAAGGACACACAGAGGAATAGACTTTGAAAAGAAATTCCATGTAAAAATCGAGTCAATAAATAATGTGTACGTACGCCTTGAAATTGTCTACGGCCCTTGATAGGTCACAGGCCACAAATATCAAATGCTGGATACGCTCACATCTACGAATAGCCTCGATAACCCCATGGTCTAAAAATTATCGAAAGTGTAAGGCATAGTTGAATGAATGTCAAAAAATGCAATCTTCAAAGTAGACAGGAATCAAGCTAGAAAACGAGTTATTATTCTTAACATGCCTTTAGTTTCCTAGATCAGCCAAACGATAGACTATAATAAAAAGTACGGAGGAAATTGCAGAAGCACAAACATACCAGGTTAACCTATTTTAGCAATGAGAGTTCCGTCGACAATCGGGTTGCCTAATAATTTGAACCCTTGAAGGTGGCCAACTAATAGCCACGCTATTTTAACCTGCTCAGATAAAGACCTAGACTGCTTTCAATGAAATGAATCAAGATTGATATATTATTTGGCTTACTGTCATTAAGAGGAATTTCTGACACCCCTCACAAATAGGAGCGAATCCGAATTTGTTTCTGTCTAAAACAACGAATGACTTACTGACACCAGCCCTCGGTGGATCCAGAACAGCTATTATTTCTTTGTCTTCTGGTAGATTTCGGATAAGATCTGTTAACATTAGTTCAGCCTTCCCAGCATAGAAAAATGCGTTTGTAATGCCTAAAAATTTGAAACAACTTAATTAAGAGGCCTTTTGAAACACTAACTGGCGACAGTTACGTCAAAACTAGCGGTTGCTTATGAGTAAAGCCAGATAATAATCGCTGTAACGCACCGTTCAGCTTCGCGTTCATTTTTGCGTTTTCAACGGCTGAGGGCATTAACTCAACTCCGATGACTCTTTCGAAGCACTAACAATGGAAGGTAATAAATTCGCATTAAACTTCAGAAAACAGGCGCAAACAAAATAATGTAATACAATAACGTTGAAATCATATCTTGGAAGTAGAATCGGTTAAAGGCTTTATGGTGAACAGGAATCCGAAATTGGGAAACTCGGGGGGCTAACGTAGAGTTTGAACATAAAATCATATATCATGTAATTTAAATGCGCATAAACAATAGCAAGAATTTTGGGAAATAAACACTCATGAAACAGGAAAAGGGTGGTGAAGTTTCACTCACATCTGCAAGGCACAAACCGATAGTTCCGGTACCACAGCAGACGTCCAGCAGGATGGCGCCGTACGGTAGTTTGCCCTCCTCCTCTAATATAGCTTTGCAGCGCCTTCGTATCTCTTCATATAACTTTTCTGTGGCCAGCGTGTTCACTGAAGCGAAAAGCAAAATAGCTGTCGATTCAATGACTGCCCATCAGCCGTCCACAACACAGGGTAACAGTGCTACTTCTAATGCAGCTCAAATTGTTGAATGACGCCGTGTTGGCAGCTGGCCGTTAGCCCAACATAAGGCGCATCCGTTATTCAATTTAAGAACTCAGTTGAAAGTATAAAGCGCTTAATAAAGTTAACAGAAAAGAGCTCAGACTGCATTGCTGGGAGGCATAGAACCTAAACAATGATAACGAATACCTTGGAAAAAAGCATCCTTTGAAATCAAAAACTTATAGCCGCAACAAAGCTCCGTAATCGTCTAGAATAAAAGAGAATAATAACCCAATAACGGCAAGAAAAGCGAATGCTGGCATTCGTAAAAATGAAACCGTACTTCTCTGCCAAATACACAGCGCTCAGTGTGTGAATCTGAGAGTTGGGAATCACTACAAAAAAGACTATTCGATACACACGAGAATGAAGAAATGAGTAAGGAATATAGGGATTAATACGAATGAACGGATAACCAACAAAATGCATGTGTTTGGGTAACAAATTAAGGATAATTTAGTAGAATGGGTATTAAAAGTGAAGCAGACTAGTTCTCAGGGAGCAGAGTTAATATAAGCAAAGGAACGGTAGCAGTGACAAATTTCACTCACCCAGTAAGTATAACTAAATACAAAGAAGTGACGCCAACCGATCCGCCAGGCCCCCCTGACTGAAACCATTGCTTCAGAATTGACTCCAGATCAACAATGTCCTCCTTCAAACAAATACGACATGCATAACAAAATGTGCCTTATTTTCCACCATCTGCCGCACAATTGCTACCTAAGGTTATGCACCATGTTAAAAGAACTTTTCAGTCGTAATTTCACTAGCACTTGGTAATATCCTCAGTTGGGAAAAGGAATTCGACCTTCGTGCAAACAAAAGTAGTTAATGATTGCTAGGTGTGCTATCTGCCATAATTGACACCACGATTCAGTTAATCAGAAACTTTTCTATCGAAAAAGGAAAGATATATGGAGTTGATGAGGTAATATCATCTCGTCTATTTTAAGTGCAAGTAAAAACTTAGTCACTGCAAGAGTGCACAACTCTTCAGAACTAGTCAAGAATGAAATACGAAAGTAATAGCTCACATCAGTGAGTTTATTCCGCTGAATTCGTACTTCCATGAGGCAATCGCCAAGACGCGATTCCCGTACGGTGACATCGCACCAATTGCCACCTTTGGTGACCGTGTCATAGACGCTCAAACGAGCAGACAAACGGTCAAACAGGGCCGTGTTTTCCTTCAAATGGGGTTTTTGGTAGATGGCATCCAGGCAGGCCTGAAAACTAGTCACAGCGGCACGGGTGGTGGTCGAGAAGATTGGCGCGAGTGCAGGATAGGCGACTGCTGTAGAGCCCGCCCTGTACCTCCCCAAACGCACTCCCACCACAGGGCCTGGTTGAGTAAGATAAGGATTAACTGTACTAGCCATTAAATATCACTTTCATTGGAATAAAATAAACCCTAAAACGTAACATTGCCTAGGAGGCGATCACAAACATTGCAAATCAGTTAGTAATAAAAATAACTCTGCCTAACAAGGCATTTAACGTCTTTTAGCAAGCCCTAAGTATAACCCGACCTTGTTTAACTCCCAACAGCGGTTAATTACCACTTACCTTTCCCATTGATGTCTTCACCGATCGTAAATTTGGCTTTATTTCGGTAGCCATTTAAAACGGGCTTTAAGACACAAGAGCATGATTAGGGCAGTTGTAAAGCATAACAGTGGTATACAGGTGAAATAAAGAGCTGCTACCCCTACACAGCAGCGCATTTTTAGCTTCTAACATAAGTAGAACTCTTAACAAATGATCTTCGATATAAATCTAGTTATAACATCTGAATGTTAATATTGCATTTGATAAAAAATGTCAAGCATCCGATCCGTAAAATTGTTATCAATAGCTCCACCTTACATCCTTCGTTTGCTTTATGATGATAGATATAATCACACTCCAATCGAGTGGTATAAATTACTAAAAAATAAAATAATTTCCCAAAGAATGGGAAGATTTGATATCAATCAAGGTGCATAAAAGTACTCATGTCAGACACGCACTCGCCGACTGCTTTTTAAGTTTACAGTACACAACTATGGCTACAAATATAGTAAAAACAAACAATTTCTGATTATAAGTTAACCTGGACTCGTCCGACTAAACTGTAGCATCGAAAGAGGGGAAAAGCTTACTGATGGTGTGATAGGACAGGCTTCGAAACCCAAAGATTTGGTGGAACTCAACATGAACCTATTAAAAATGAATCCTTAAGGCGAAGTAACGGAAGCAAAGCAAGGAAGTAAAAAACAACATTACCATACCCGGGTCCGAGGCAGAGGGAGCAGTATTTGAATTTATTGACCTTAAATACTGCATTTCGAACCATTTTCAAGCACTTGACAGCACTTTTTTGCTTTTCCCTCAGCTGATTTGGATCGTAGGGCATTCGGTAGAAAGAGGCGACGCTCATATTGGGACTGATATCAAAGTATAAAAGCTCGATAAATGCAGACCAAAAAACCTACAGTGAAACCCAATGTGTTTGCCTACAGAAGACTAGTGAAAGGGCAACACAGAACATTGGGTTTAAAGAACACATTGGCATCTAGCAAATAACAGTGAGCAAGGTTTGCGAAATACACACTCTATCGCCTCTGGTACTTCAACAGTGTTGCCAATTTTTCGTTTCTTTGGTGACGAAGAGGTGTCTCTCTGTGCTTGATCGTCGTCCAGTCTTGAATGGTACTTCTTCATCGATACTGGATCATTCACAGGCAAGGAGAGCTGTTAAAGAAAAGATTAGACTATGCTATGACGTTGTGAAAACTATTAATTACAGCAGCAGATTTATGGTAGAACGTTCGTGAGACGTACCTCAGCCGCGAGAGTTCTTCCTTTATAGACATATCCATCCAGTCTTTCAACGGCCCTATCCCTATCCTCTGCAGATCTTCAAAGGATTCGAATAATACAAGGTGTTAAGATACTAACGATTGAAGTTTCAAGGAGAAAACACATATGGTCCATGAATTATCTCGCAACAAATGTTCACAAACAAGGAAACGATTCCTCACCTATATTTACAATTAAATTCCTTAGAATAAACGACTTCGTCTAGAAGGTCGCCAATCTTACACAAGTTGGTCACTACGATCTTATAGTAAGCTTCGCTAAATTGCAGGATAAGATGAAGCAAAAGTACCGAAAGGTTATGAAGAAAAGACCCCGACCAACCGGTTTGATTTTCGATGCGACAAAACCTTGTGACTGAAGAAATTTTTTCATTACCTAGAACAGACAATTAGAAAAATGAATGCGATCATTACCTGAGATAAAATGATTAACGTGAACCTTAAGGGAAACAGCTTTAAAAATTCGTGTTTGAAATTTCGCAACAATAGAAGAAAAATGCACCAGAAATACATATTAGGGAGACGGGAGTAGGGTTTGATGGTTGAGGGTAAACTATGGAAAAATCTACAGCACCTTCACTGAAATATGCTTGTTCACATTGCTAAGCCGAATCTTAAAGCGCTCAAAAGAGGGTTGGCCGTTATCAAGGTAGGCATAAACGCAATCCGGTGAAGAGCATGGTGCGGGAACTTCATTTGATGAGCAACCATTCCTGCCCTTCCAACACGAACAATTGGCTCCAATGCTTGCCGACGATGTCATCAGTTGCCCTACCAAACCCTAAAACACATTCGCCTTAAAATAACTCGCATTTTTGGTCAAGTACACGACTATAAAAGAAAACAATCAGGCCAAAACCAATCAAAGTCGAGTAATTCATGAAGGTATTGCATTGGACTAGTCCTGGGATGTCTATTGAGGATTGGCATAAATGCATTACTATGGGAACTAACGGTTGCATTTTTAGATGAAAAAAAACGTATAAATCGTTAGAAGCAGATAGTACTACTTGGAGAATCCGTCTGAGACTGAATAATTTCACATTGTCCAGAAAAAACATACCTCAGAAGACAGTTAAACTGCTGATATCAAAGTGTATTTTCAAATACCAAAGCTTTAGTCAACTGTCCTGAAATTTATTATAAAACACACCCTACCAATGCACGCAAATCTCCAATGTGCATACAGGCTTTCGTATAAAATCTTCGAGTCCATGACCTTAATCATGGCCATACGAGAAAGAAGAATACTAAGTGCTACCATATTTTGGTGCCAACGTTACCTTATGGTAATTAATAGATAAATTTTTAAAGACCTTTTAATATTTGTTGGTTACAAAACCTTTTAACTTTGAGTGGTGCATTACCCACCTCCAACAACTTCTGTTGTAGAGACCCGAGGCTTCTCGCTCACGACGCGTCAACTCACCAGAGTCTACCTAATACATTTTCGTGTACTTCAAAACCCCCCTAGCTCTTGCACGCACGAGTTGATCCCCGAACCGACGTGACTTAACACCTCTCACCCTGGAGTACACACATCCTCACCAGGTAGGAAGTCTCAAGACATCACAGTCCACAATGCGATCCTCGATCTTCGATCAGACAAGCCACAGCGACCCTACTCCGCCATCCAAATACATGGCACCAACAGGAAACAAGAGCAATTTACTGATGACGGTGCAAACGCATAATCAATAAAGTATGAGGTGAGAATGTAGGAGGAAAAGGATAAAGGGTCAAAAAGAATAGAGAATGGCTCAACCCCATGCAGAGGCAGACCCTCCACTAGCAGATCCAGTTCCCGAGGTATTCGTCCCACCTCCGCCACTACCATTACCACGTGCGCGAGAGATGGTCACATTGATGCCAAGGCTGCCATTATCTGCGAACAACTGAGCCACGTTGGAGTCGAATACGAGGCAGTCGGAAACGGCTATCGCCGCCTGCACACCATCGTGAATGCTCCGCGGTGTCGCCTCCCATGTCAAGCGCCGCGTGGAGGCCGTCAGGTCTAGCCTGCACAACACAGAAGTGCGTAGTTAACCGTACAAACTTAACCTAAGCCATTCCTTTTAGCATTCTTTGATTCACTTGATTGTTTTGGACGTATTTTGCATATATGGATTTCGTGGACGGAAGTTATATGACAAGGCGCCGACTGTTAAAATCTTTTGCATAATTTATTCTCCAATACGCATAAGATGTGAAAGTACACTGGAGTTTTACAATATTGATGCAAGCGTTAGCAACAATGTGAAGAAACACAGGAACCCTATATGTAAATAGTAAAAATGACGATTTAGAATGTGTCGTACAGCAACGGACCTAAGTTTACAAATCTAATTGACGTTATGGATGCGTATCTGATAAGGGCGAAGCTTGAGTAGTTCAAACAAAATCTGCAAATTCGTAGCCTAATTTTAGAAACAATTTCGTGTTTGGTATGGAACAGTCTCTACAGAACGAACATACCTGAATCTATTTCCTCATAAGGTGCTGTATACTAGCAAGCTAACAAAGAGGAAATTTATGAAAAGAAGAGGACTTACTTGTACACGAACTGGTCGGCTTGCTTTTTGGTTCCGATAAGGAGGACAAGGGCAAAGAAAAACTGGTCGGGAGACACTCGCTCTTGCTTCTCCAACACCAACATGAAGTAGTGTCCAAAGCACGACTGCATCATTACCCAATCCACGGCTCCAGGTAAGGTAATGTCGGTAGCCAAAAAGACAATGTCCTCGCCTATATAGTGGAGCAAGTCGGGAGGGAGAGAAAGTGTAACAGCAAATCGATTATTAGACATGGAAAGTTGGGGATCAGAGGTATTACCTTGTAATGTGGTAATGGTTTTGTGACTCTGCAGAAGATGAGGCATGACTTGATCGAGTTGACCGAGCCATTTGCATGAGGCTCCTGGACAGGGACAGCTGTATGGCCTACGAGGATAGGAGGGTAATATAATGCAAGTAATTTCATGGTTTTCCTGTACCTTTATTCCGAACAAAGATACACAGCTGTAGCAATTGTGCTTTCAATGGGTCAACAACCAGTAAAGGTTGAAGACACTGGAATTTTCTTAAATCATGAACGCAAATTTACACTTAAGTATACATGACTTAGGTAAGTTAAGCACTAGAAGTGGGTAAAGTTCCGGTCTGTGGGTAAGATACGGACTGACAAGACAAATATAAGACAAAGACTATGAAGCCAATTTACCGGTGCTCACAGACAGATTCGTGTTCCGCCTTCACAGTGTAATGGAACGTCTCCGCGCAGCCAGTTAGGGCGTACTTGCAAGGGAAGAGAATGCTAGCGGCCAGTTTCTCCATAGCCAAATTGCGAATATTTTCTAAATGTGAGCGGGGGCATGAATTCGCGATCATATGATCGAGAAAGCACAACGATAATATGAGCTTGAGAAGTGTACTACTGAGATTAGCTGCAAACTACAATGGCGTTGCACCAGATTTGTTCAACTTCCTTCAGCAAAATAACTTGTGGGAATGGTTTTGCAGCACTGTATTATATCAAAGTCAGCAGAATAGAAGCTCCGATAGCCTTAGGATCAAAAAAAGCACATGTTAAGAAAACTAGGCTTTTGTCACGACGTCTACGGGGAGCAAAATCGGCTAGTAGACAGGGACAAGTCCATAATAGCTTCACTCAACTTTTGGAAAACAACCAATGAGCTGGGATGCATCTTTTTGCATCTGTGCCGGTTTTCATTGTTCTGAATTGCGATAAACCGATGTTTAAATACGCGAAAAGTCAAGAATGGGATATATTATCAACAATCAAGTCGATAAAAATTTCTCACGCCAATGGAAGCGCCGCCTGCAATACTATAGTAAAACTCGAAAAGTTGGAAAGTATGCAATGTAGAATCAGGGATATTTGTCCCACACATGGAATAACAAACTACTGAAAGGTAAAATTGGTTTTCCAACATCAACGTAAACACATGCTTGGTACATTTAGATGCATAAGCGCACTAAGTATTAAGACACTAGAAGCTTTCATCAATAAAAAATCGAACCCGAGTCTTTCACATCAGCATTTCAACCCTCGAACCCAGTAGAAGAAATGCATGCATAATTTAGCTTGTGATAAGACAATAAGATCCATGGAAATATCATAATAATAGGAAGCACCCAATTAAAAGCCAAATTACTTAAGGGCAATAATTTACCGAGATTTCCACGGCAAGTGGGACAAGAGGAGAGTTTGGTACGACAGCTGGCACAGACAATGTGCCCACTTTGACACTGTAAAATCGGAGGCAGCGCGAAGTCCATGCAGACAGGACACTCAAAAAGGCTCACAAGGTCCATGGAGTTAGTAGGAGCCGGCGGATCACCGCCAGCGCCAGTGGGAGGGGGTCTCTCTGGCCCATTTGGAAGCACAGGGGTAGCAGTGATTGGAGTAACTGAAGCAGAGGCGGGATGACTGATTCCACCCACTGCTCCAACGCCGCCACCGCCTCCCCCACTGCTACTTCCATTGGAACCACTATCTGCTCCAGTAGAGTCGAAGTCAAAGAGGGCTGCAGATGCTGCCGGACGCTGTGGATTAGATGACACCCCACCAAAATGTCTTTCTACGACAGTAGAGGAGACGTTTCTATGTGATGTTGGGCGTGTGGCTGGCTCCGCTACCACAACTGACGTCGGGCGATCCGAACCCGCGTAAGAAAACGAAGAACTCATCAGCGCTATAGCCTAGGATCCAAACGGACCATCAGTTAAAGTGATTGATGAGACATGAGTAAAACAGACAAGGTATAAAATAGACATGAATCGAAAGAGCGCAACCCAACGAGTTAAGAAGGATTAGCCAAAGGTAGAAATAATTCGCATCGCATATTGCTTGAAAGAGACCATCGAAGTTGGGGCGCATTCGAAAAAGAGAGCAATGAAGAATGCATATACACATCATGTATTAAACGCAGAAAACTTTGAATATTTAAAATAGAAAGGCGAATTGGTGAAAAGGTGACGAAACGGCGAATATAAGCGCGGCAACACTCTGTGAATCCAGCTGATTGAGGAGAATATACAAGAAGGGAAATCGCAATATCACACGGAAATAAAAGAGCAATGAGCTCATACTAACGTTTGCAAATGAAAATTTGGAGTATAAAGTGGACCAAAAGGAGAAAAGTGAAAAACAATGTCAATTGCATTTCCGAAATTTTAAGTATTCATCAACTTTTCGCATTAGAAAAGAGGAATATCAAGGGTATTGCCTGTACGCAAACTTCCTGGCAGAACCCCCACCAAAGTAATGGTTGTAATCCATAAAAGGTGGGCAAAAGAAGAGCGTACATTATTATAACCATACACTAGCAGCAATTTCTTACAAAAGGTTCGCCAAGGAAAATGGTGAGTAATAGCAAACATAGCAGTCAAGATGCTGACCCATCTTTAGCGAAAAACGCGTAAGGTGTACACATGATGCATGGAATTAAGTAACAAACAAACGAGAACCCAACCTGACTATGCTAAAACCCCACACATCAACAGAGAACTCGACATGGACCGCGCATAGTCAATACTATTTTAAAGAAATATCACAGCATGCCAGCGTAAAATTGCATAAACTATTATAGATGTGCCTTCTTAGAATTTACTTGCTACTTAAAGCTACAACAATTTAATTTCACATGCGCAAACGTCATACAAATGAACTATAAACAATTTACCACCAAAGTTGCTCTTAGCTGCAACTCCATCGTTCCAGATCAGCAGACGTTTTAAATGATCAACTTTATTTATCGAATAGCTTTGATTCGAAGATGCTTCCTTGGGCGTAGCTGTAGGACCTCCCAGTCTACTCTCAGACCCTGAACCTCGGACTCAATTAGAGGATTAGTTGATTTTGGTTTATTCGGTAGAATATACAGAAAAGGATGTGTGGGAGTATTAATGAATTTCCACACCGATGTTCATAACGTCGCGAGACCTCCTGGCCGGTATAAGAAGTCAGTAAGTGCAGCTGGACACATGTATTCTGAAGACGGCAGGACAAATGAGCCTGGATATGACCCGAAGGCCAGCTCACATGTACAAGGATCAGACAAAGCCTAAAGTGCCCCCCCCCCAAACGTTATGTGGTCACATAAACAAAATATTGCACCGCCCCTCTCTCCTTTTGAGCGGCGCCCTCGGCGCTCCCCTTGGTACACCTCCCGCGCCAGCCATCACAACATATTTGCTACTACATGAAAGCACCCACGAACCAACTGCGCCAGTCGACAGACAACACGAGACTGAGGAACCGTACCAGGTCTTCTCGGCAGTTCCAACTGGATCTGGAGTTACGTTCGATCTGACAACCAGATTCGGGACCGCATACACCTGTTGGCCATCAATTGCTTCCAGGAATAGACGGTGGAGCTCTGGTCTAAACATATGTTACAGCGAAAACGGGATGTGTCACTGTCCCGTGTGTGAGGAGAACCGTAGTATCATTTTGTATGGGATATTCCGACACGAAAGTCTTCCAGATAGTTCACGGCGGTGTCACCTCGGTTGTTAATGGCTTGTCTGTCGAACACGGGAATAAGGTGAGACCACATGCAGACGTCCGTCCAAATCCTTTCGTTGTGAAGGATTCAGCGATTCTCCGTCACCAAGGTAAATGCGCCTCATTCAATTCACGTCCCATTTTCGCCTATATCGTCATCTATTGCACTTCGATAGAGTCAGACTTCCTTCTACGCATGCATAGCTCATGATTGCCGGTGCACAACGCCAAAATGTACTTATTAATGTTAGATTTCTCCACTGAAATGTGGACTTCCTTTGTAGTCTTGTTTGCTGGTTGGACTACAAACTTCTTGCCGTGAAAAGAGAGGCTTCGAATTTCCGACCAAGGGAACCCGATTTTGGAGTCCAACAGATTGTCAGGCTCATAGATACTCAAACCCAGAGCATCGACACCAAGAACAGGCGACATACATCTCCAGATCCTGTGCGATTTGTAGGCACTAAATCTCTGCATCATCCGATCGAACCATTGCTCGTCAGCTTGTTCGTACTGTTCTTTTACGGAAATCAGCCGACTAATTGGCAAAGTTTTGCAACACAAACGTAGGATGCCGGTAAGGCAACGGCGCCTGTTGGACAATAGATTGTCCCGGACACTATGTCGCTTCTTACAAACGACCAACGAAGAACATCCCGCAGAGGGAGGCCCCAACTCGAGTGGAGCAAAGGTTTTCAAAAGCACTTTATACCTTAAAGCCGTTTAAAAAATGTCGGCTTCGCTTTCCGCTGTCACCAGTGTAGCGTCCCGAGACCTCCTGGCCGGTATAAGAAGTTAGTAAGTGAAGCTGGATATATGTATTCTGAAGACAACAGGGCAAATTGACCTGAGCATGACCCAAAGTCCAGTCCACATGTACAAGGACCAGACACCTCCCAAAGTGACCGCCAAACGTCATATTGTCACATAAACAAACCATTACAATGTTTTCCTGCGGATATCTATTTTTGTGTTCGAATTGCTTAGCCTCCTCTCCTCTATAACCCCCATAACGCTATTAAGATGTGATATTGCTTTCCTCATTGTCTCCTCGTCACCAGATTTGGCAAAGTACTTTTAATGGATAGAAAGGTTAGAAGTGACCTGAAGGCTAGCCCAGCTTGCAGAAACTGATGGCCACTTCAAATAACTACCTTCGTAACGTAATCAATTGTGCTGGTAAGCACCCAAGATCCAGCACTGCCTGTCATCAACTCCCATAAGGGGATTCTACTTGCTCCTCTCAGCTAACTTAACTTAAAATAGAGCCTCGTTAGGCCAAAATGCATAACTTAGAGGCAGGCATTTTTGTTGTTTATCGTACGTACGGGGAGGTGGATTTTGGGACACAGGTAGAGTTCTTTGCGGATAGCACTTTCATATTGTCGACATCTAAGCTGGGGTGGATAGAGAAACTTTTAAACTGTTCGAACAGGATGTTCGCAAAGAACCCATTGAAAGACGCATAATTTATCAGCTAGCCCTTACCTGTTTCAGTGCAACTGCTCCCGAGTTTTCATCTAAGCAGTTTAAATGTAGTCTCCACTGCCGATGTCCCATCACTCACTGCGGGCTAGCGCATTGGGCAAGACCGCATGACAAACACCCACTGAGTGAATGCTAGAATCACATGCTGTTCCTTTTCACACCTATTTAAAGTTGTAAATGACATTGTGGTAAATGTGGTTGTTAGTGAACATGAAGCCCACATGAGCACCAACAGTCGTCTACCAATGGAATGAGAGCGTTTTGCAACGCTCGGGAAATGAACGAGGGAAGGCGACTTTCAACAACTTTGAGATAAAACGGATTGATGCCGTTTATGGCTTCTATGTAGACTTTGATTGCTCAAATGCATCATGTTTGCTTAAATATTGAAAAAAGTTGTGTTGAAGACGTTTACGTTCAACAATTGGTTGACCAATTCGTTGACGCGATAATACATACATGGATTTAAGAGAGAGTTCAGCGTTATCGACTTTGTTTGTGCACTATTTTACTTAGACTTATAGGAACCCCATTTTGACTTAATACAAAGGTGTCTCACACAGATACGCTTCCAACCCTTCTTTGGAATGCCATTTTTGCCAGACAACATCAAGCACGTCTATTTCTTTGTGTCAAATGTACGAAAACATGCTCACCAAAGTTAATGACTTCGCAAATCCCTTCTGAAGTCACCTCCGTTCAAATTTCTTAATAATCTCCTTTACTTGAGTGTTATGATAGTAAAAATAATAGAGAGTTAGTGAGAAATGTAGGAGCTCTGCCAGCCATGGGACTTTACCGCTGATTTTGGGTTTTAGGGAAACATTTATGAGCTATTATCAGTGCAGAGTTTACTGCAGTTTGGATCCTCAATAAATTTGACGTCTCCCTTTCTCTCAATTTTGAGCTTTTTCCAAGCAGAAACCAGAACTCGGTTGGTCCTCTGGGATACGTTCTCAGTCTGCTTTTAGTCCATTTCATCGGGTTCGCAGTCCACCATTAGCACAATAACGTAGTTTCATCTACGAAATATTTCCCATTATTTCGTCATGCTGGCAGTGGAGACTCGTGCACAGAAAGCTTGCGCCTCTCACCGCCAACCAGCAGGGAACCACGTGACGATGGTTAACGCATCACTTGGTCGAGAGATGGGACCAAGGTGGGCAATGCCGCCACCTGAACCAGCTAATACCTACGCACTTTTAATGTTTTCTGACTGAATCAACCGAACGCAACGCCTTCTTGGCACTTGCTGTGTACACAATCTGCGCCATAAAATGGAACCTACCTATACTTGAAATATCTCCCTATGTTTGGTCATTTCATCAAATGGAAATGATGTTGTAACTCATCCCTTAGGTTAAAGAAAGGAAACTACGGGCTGCTAGCCATTTAATGGAGCAAGGTTAACCAGGTCCTAGGCTATGAATCTATTAGCCCTGAATACTAGAAGGTCATGTTTTTAGATGTGAAGCGTACATAAGCCCAAATTTCCTCATTTACAAACGATGGGATATGCAGATGCAGGACTGTCAGTGGTCGGGACCAAGTAAATAAGCAATGCTGAGTTCTTCCCTGACAGTATGGTAATGTAAAACAAGTGCGTCACTTTAAGCCTACGGGAACACATGAAACATGGGTTTCCCTAACAAAATAATGTCCGCCACCGTATGCTTACCGGATGACCCGATCTTCGGGACAAAACACTATCATCAAGCCCATCAGTATGCACAAAGTTTGCATTCCTGCTAAACTTCATAGCCCCTTTCGTCTCTAAGACGAAGTTTGTGAGCTGAAACGCAAAATTAATGCACCGCTGTTGTTTATAAAGGTCCCGCTGTTTATATTGCCTATTTTTAAGGGTATCAACAAGAAGGCTGTATTAAGCATTGAAGATTGCGTTTCGAATGGTCAATTTCCTGAAATTTCATGCTTTATGAAGATCCATAAGCACTTTCGTCTTGGTTGTAGCTACTTGAGTTGTGGACAACATGGGTAACTGACAAAGTGAAAATGGATGACTTCTTTTAATGATTACCCAAAAGCCTAAATGGAGTAAAAGATTAAGTCATTCGAACTTCGTTTAAGCGACCTATTTAACCGATAAGTAGAAAAGGTTTGCCCTTATCGTAGAGATTGCTCCATTCAGGGCTGGTACGACGTGAATAACTGTGCTTTAGGAAATGAGGAAAACCGTGATACAATAAGCGGCATTTTGCGAAATTCAGGTCTTTCAGAGGTGGTTTAGTAAGCGCTGAATAGTGAGAAAAGGCTAGTTGACTGTTTCCGCATTTCAGCTACATTTTCTGAAATTCATCGAAGAAGTTAAACAACCAAAATTAAAGTGAGTGGTAGTAAACAACTGTCTTCAACCTAAGAAAACCACAGAAAAGCATTTCACTACGAAATCATGGACGGACCTGAAATGCTTTGTTTATGTGACTACCGAATGGCAGGCTATCACTTTAGGATTGGTCTGGCCCTTGTACACGTGAGCTGGCCTTTGGACCATGCCCAGGCTCATTTGCCCTGTCGTCTTCGGAATACATGTATCCAACTGCACTTACTGACTCCTTATACCGACTAGGAAGCCTCGGGACGTTACAAGACCAATGAAAACTCGCGGCACTACGTCGGTGCACTTTCAGAGGAACTGAGTGTCTCATCATTCAAAACTACCGAGCTGCATCTCTCCAGATACGTTTCCTTTACATATAAATTGAGCCTTCAAATACTGATGTTGGAAATTGTTTACTGTGATGCACTTGCTCAAAAGTTCAACCTGGCAGTTCACATGATCACTAATGCGCTGAATTTGTTTACGGGAGATAATTGTGCAATTTTTGGGCAAGTACTTCATTCTACCTATTGTAAGCCTGTGCAATGGAGGATTCCGAACCAAAAACTACTAAACTGAAAATCAGAAGGTATTAAAACTTGTGACAGTTGCGTAGTTCATTCGCGAACAATCTTCGCTACAAGGTACTTGTGGTTTCAAAAGGGAAGAAAAGAACTAAGGCCCGACACTAACCTTCAGCAAAGGAGTAAACAAATGCATATCCCTTGACCAAAAGCGTCAAATCGTTTCATGCACTCAGCCGACTTATGTTCCCACTTCTCGCACTAATGGGATAGATAGGGGGATTGAGGCATCTAACAAATCTCTCCCTCCTATGCTATTACATCAAATAGTTTCTGCAGGTATTAAAAATAGTAGTTTGATAAATGGTGTTTCGAATAATCTAGGGGCTTCCTCTTCAACGACCCCTTATATTCTCTTTATCACAAGATACTGAATAGCCAACAATATGAATTTTAGTTTCCTTTGTTGACGTATGATCACGTCAGTGCCGGTATACACGGGGAAAACGAGCTACTTGAGTAAAAAGGGAAGGCTAACGGCATTTAGGCTAATTATGCATCCGACAACGACAAGAAGACATGCAACTGTTTGCTTCAGTCCCAATATTTACGCGGTGATAATTGCGCAGCGGCCTTTACGATAGAGGGCGCTCAATACACTCACGTTGAATGCACCATGATGCACCAACTCAGAGTTTAAACAAATATTGAGACTGTTGGAGATTCACTGCATAGCGTCAGCTTTCGTCCGTAAATTCCGAAAGCAAACATCCTCCTTGATAGAGGATTGTTAAATGAACTCAACAAGCCCTTCGATCTATTGCGTTTTGTAAAAAGAAGTTGAGCAGTGAAAGAAACTTAAAATATTAGCAGAAGCCTGTGGGATGGCTCAGAATCAGCACATAGACATTAACGAACTTACTCAGTCTTGAGTCCACATTTCGATGAGCCTAGCTTCGAATCTAAGTCTCTGCAACCTTTTAGCTTACCAGGCTTTTAAATATAGTAGGCCACCACGCTAATGATTCACAATGGATGGCTTCGGACTACATCAGTCCTATTCGCCTGACCAGATGGGTCAAATTTGCACTTTCGGTTGCGTCAAATGTCATTCGCAGATAACGCAAGGCACGGCACACCCACTTAATCCATGGGCACGCAGTTTTAGATGCTCCAAACTTACAACCCATGGCCTCCCTTTCCTGTGCATGTTTAGTGAAGCAAATCGGGTGTAGCTGTGAGTCGCGCCAAGGCTTGGGATGCCAACAACGTGTCCACGCTGCCAATTGGACTGGTGTCCTTACAGAAGCTACTCTAGATAAACGTAGCAGAGCAGATTCTCCCTCTTTCAATGGCTAAAGAGCAATATTTTGCACTCACTACGTATCGGATTTTACTGAGTTTAGCAAATAACGTAGCCGGTGCCAACAGAGAAGGCTTTACGTCGTGAACAAGCACGGGAGCATGACTGACTTTGTGCTTCATTGCATCGGTAAATACTAAGCTTAATCAGTTGCATCCGGATCAGCTAGTAACTGTAACCCAAAATGTACATAAAACCATTGAGAACTAAAACTAAATAGTTCAAGCAGAGCTTTTGCAAGTTTGAACGTTTGTTCTTGAGCACAGTAACCCATACCGAAATGTTGCATTTTCGGACAACTGGTGATAGCTTGCGTAACTGGTTATTGACAGTCGTTTGGCATTGATTTGTAGATAAAATTCCATTACTTGGGGAACAATTAGACGAAAAATCTATTTTAGTGATGTAGTGAAAAATAGTGGGACAACAATTCATAACAATCCTCTTATGATTCCTTCCTTAAACATTCATAGAAAGTTGTGTAAAAGCCAAAGGCAAATCCAACGTGGTCATTAAACGCCAAAGGCAAAACACCAAAACAAGAGCAGGGTCAAAGAGTCTACTGTTGATTAGGTAATCTCCCGACATCTGGCTTTGCGGGGACTCTGTCGATGACTTAAAGGGCATCACGAAATTACTTTAGATCTTCGACGATGCCTTTGCGGCGAAAGAATAACAACCAAACAATCTCAGCCCAAATCTTTAGAGTAAGAACGGTAAACCTCCAGTTTAAAAAGCCTTTTGTATCCAAGATAGTTGAAACCCAATCAAGTAGCACACACAGACAATATGCCCAACTTAAGACCTGAAAAGAAGAGTTATAACGACTCAATCAGCAGAAAAACAGCAACAGCGTTCAACTGGAATAAATGAACAACTTTGACGGAAAAAGCGCGTTTACCAATAATATTCTGTTATTTACCATGAAGAAGTGAATGGTTGAGAAGAGTTTGGGTAGGGGATGAAAATATATGTTAAAAGAGCAATAAAAGTGCTCAGCATAAAGTTGCAAAACCACTTTGTGGCCGATCGAGGCAGGCACAACTGACATCTTACAATAAAGACTTTAAAGAAAACAAGCAGTAAAAACATACAGTTCAGCTGTCAGCGACCACAAAGCAAAAGAATTGGCACAGATAAAGCGTACTTAGTCAGACTCAACATATTCATACCATGAATTAAAGCGACACATTCAAAAATCACTGTAAAACCTAAAACGTTTCGACTTGTTTCTCCACTTTTCCGGAAGATACAGGACCATCCAATTGAGATTCGTCTTCCACCGGCACACAGGCAAACACCTTTTGCAGAAAAATAGTGCCCTTCCCTGAAAAAGAGCAAAATTAGCAAAGCTACCAAATGTTTGAGAGTATTCAAATGAGCCAAAATAGATTAACCCACAAATGAAATTTTGGAAACCTCTGGGCTTCTTTTTCCACGAAACACCCAACCAGTAGATGGGAACCGCCGCCAACATGAGAACTACATTGGAGAGCGACTCACGGGGCTGTTGGTAGATAGTCAGCACAAGAATGAAGAGGTCGCATCCCAGGAAAAGAATAGGAAAGAAGATAGGCAACTGTGTGGGTAAAATCAAACGGGGAAGCGTCAGGAATGTTCTCGTGTGTGCATTTATTGACAAGATCTCCCGTGCCCTTAAAATCAGCTTCAACGCCAAGGCGACAATAGAAAAAATGATGTAGGAAAGAGTACCTGGAACGATGTCTTAAGATTGGGTTCCCTATACCGCATATAGAGGAGAGAAGTCACCGCCAAAGCCGCGATAAAGGAAAAAGCAAAGCCAGCCAACTCAATCAAGGCGAAGAGATTACTGTAGAATTGGTAACCCACGGCGAGGACAAGCTAAACCAACACAAAAGCAAAGAGGCCACGCTGTAAAAACTTCCCAAACCAGGACTTTGCAATGGATTATTTCAGAATCAAGAAGGAAATCAAAAAGCGAGTATTCAGATAGTTAATGCGACGACTGCGCCGAGATAGAAAATGTTTATGCGTGATCCAACGATTGCTAAATTAAAGAACATTAAGAGCAAAATTGGTTTTGGATAGGAACATACCTAGCCTAAAACATGGCGACTAAAGATTGAAAAATAAATTTCAGATGAAAAATAGAAATTTACCAAAACCAAAATGGCAGGAATGGGAGTGAAGTTGCAGTGGTGAATCATAGCGAGAATGGAAGGCATATGACCCTCCCTGGCTCCCGTGTAAGTCAGCCTTTAAGGAACCACAAGAATGGAGCATAAGCAGAATTCGGTTAATAGCAACCACCTCCAAAGTAATCCCAATTGACA